TGAAATTGCTCAGCAAAGTCCAATGACAAGGTGGAAAGCCTCATGGGGTGGACGGGCCACAGGGTGAGCTCAGAGGTTGTTTCTTTCCCAGGCATCTGGGCCCACAGCCAGGTGACAGGCGGCGAGGAAGGAAGGGCTGGTAAGGAAGCAGACCCAGGAGGTGTGGACCACGGTCCGGGAGCTTGGCAAGGACAGCACAGACAGCGAGCGTCCAGCTGACCTTTTTCCAAGATGAACAAAAGAATGTTTTGCAGGCTGAGAGGAGACCTTCATAGGCATGCAACCGTCTGTCTTCTTAAACTTATCTTTATATGTCCAACTTTCAAAAGAGGATGCATGTATATTATAAAATAGGATTATGAAACTAAACACCGAGAACAAAAGTCTCCAATAACCATCCCCAGTAAGCACTGTTAATAATTTAGAGCAGCCGAAGCCAGTTTGGCTCAGTAGATAGAGCGCCAGCCTGCGGACTGAAAGGTCCCAGGTTCGATTCTATCCCTCTCCCTCCCTCTCTGTAAAAAATGAATAAAATATATTTAAAAATAATAATTTAGAGCATATTCCTCTAGATTTATTTCTATGTAACACTAATTTACATACTTTAAAAAATATTCTTACTGATTTCAGAGAGGAAGGGAGAGGGAGAGAGAAATAGAAACACCAATGATGGGAGAGAATCATTGATCGGCTGCCTCCTGCAAGCCTCACACTGGGGATCAAGCCCACAACCCAGGCATGTGCCCTAACTGGGAATCGAACCGTGACCTCCTGATTCACAAGTCAATACTCAACCACTGAGCCACATCAGCCAGGCTACATATCCTAGCTAATAAAGAGAGAATATGCTAATCAGTGTCCACAGCCAATAAGGAGGGAATATACTAATTGACTGTCACACTCTCAAAGATGACGGTGCCCACAGCCACATTTTATTGATTTTTTTACCAAGAGGAAGAGAGAAGGATAGAGAGTTAGAAACATTGATGAGATAGAATCATCGATCAGCTGCCTCTTGTACACCCCCTACTGGGGATGTGCCTGCAACCAAGATACATGCCCTTGACCAGAATTGAACCTGGGACCCTTCAGTCTGCAGGCCAACACTCTACCCACTGAGCCAAACCAGTCAGGGCTCTACCTTAATTTAAAAAAACAAAAATAAATAAAGGACAGTAGCGCCCCCCCCCCCCCCCCCCGCCACTCCCAAAAAAAGAAAGGAGACAGGGAGAAGTCTTTATGTCACCATCCTATATAATAAAGAGCTAATTTGCAAATGATCATCATGCCCTCATGCCTCAGACACTCAATACTGGGGAGAGAGGAAGGGGGACCAGCTAAGCACAAATGAACTCATGAGAGAGGAATAGGGACCAGCCAGGCTGCAGCCTGGGAGAGGGACAAGCCTTCTACCCCATGGTCCCAAGACCGGACAGGGGTGAAGCCTCCTTCCCATGGTCCCCTGAAGCTGTAGCTGACCCCGGCAAAGTCGGCCAGTGTCCTAGGTGCCTATGGCAGGCCAGAGGGAGGGAATCCTGGGTCCCGGGTATAGGGTAATCAGGCCAGCAGGGGAGCAATTAGGGGCAATCAGGCCAGTAGGGGGAGCAGTTAGGGGTGATCAGGCTGAGATGGTTAGGGGCGATCAGGCAGGAGCCAGTGGTCCTGGATTGTGAGAGGCAGTCAGACATCCCCCGAGTGGTCCTGGATTGGAGAGGGTACAGGCTAGGCTGAGGGACCCTCCCTCCCTGCACAAATTTTGTGTACCTGGCCTCTAGTCTTAAATAAAAATTTAAAAACAGGACATTTCACCCTAGCTGGTTTGGCTCAGTGGATAAAGCATCAGCCTGCAGACTGAGGGGTCCTAGGTTTGATTCCGGTCAAGGGTACATGCCTGGGTTGTGGGCTTGATTCCCAGTAGGGGGCATGCGGGAGGCAGCCGATTAATGATTCTCTCTCATCTTGATGTTTCTCTCTCTCTTTCCCTCTCCCTTCCTCTCTGAAATCAATTAAATATATATATATATATATATATATATATATATATATATATATATATATATATATACTTTAAAAACAGGACATTTCCAAAACACATTAAAATATATAACTTTGGAAAAAATAAGTTCACCTATACCCTATCTAAAATTACTCCGCGAACACACTAGGAACTCAAGTACCACATTTTCGTTAACGCTTTCCAGGCACACTGGGGGTTTTACATGAGCTGCTGCTGAAATACTGGCAGCCCGGGCAAAGGCTGGGGCCAAGCAGAGAGCTTGCAGTCAGGATTACGCCTTGTCACCAGCCTGGGCTGGGGCTGTGGAATGCGGAGGCTCCACTCCAGGTCACAGGGCAGAAAGCTGGAAGGGAGGGATGGGTAAATTGGGAGAGGAGGCAAAGGCAAAGGACCAAGGGCAGATTCCCTCATGCTCTGGCCCAGAGCCCAAGTCCTAGACTTCTGACCTCACCAAGGGACGTAATGGATGTAAAACAAGCCAGTCGGTTTCCAAGTGGGAAGAGTGCCAGCCATGATTTTTGCTGCCCAAGGAATGAAAAGTCAATAATAATCATTCTTGTGATTCACATTCATCCTGTTTTATTCCAAAGCACTTTACCGAAAGGTCCTTTCGCCCGGCCATTATGTTCAGGGCCAGGAGGCAGGGCACCTGGACTCCAGATCTGTGCATGGGAGACTTGGGAGTTCCTTGGGGTTTAAGTTTCTCCCACTGTTAATTGTGGCAAGTAACACCGTGAAGAATTTTACATACCGGTATATCTTTTCACTTGGCCCTCCAACCCTGGTGAGGAAAGCAGAGAATATAGGATTGTTATTCTAATTTTATTTTTTTAAAATATATTTTATTGAGTTTTTTAGAGAGGAAGGGAGAGAGATAGAGAATTAGAAACATCGATGAGAGAGAATCATCGATCAGCTGCCTCCTGCACACCCCCTACTGGGGATGTGCCCACGACCAAGGTACATGCCCTTGACCAGAATCAAACCTAGGACCCTTCAATCTGCAGGCTGATGCTCTATCCACTGACCCAAACCGGTTTTGGCTCTAATTTTATAGATAAGGAACAGGGGATCAGGTGGCTGGGTCAGACTCACACTATTAACATGGTGGGGAAGCTGAGATGCTGGGAAGCTGGGACCACTTTTTCCAAATGCTTTGCTGTTTCCCAGTCAAAACAAGAAAGTCAGTTCCTGTGAGATGGCTTGATCCTACACAAAATGCCCTGTGTATGGTCCAAGGGCAGAACTGGATTTCTGTGGCTGAAACTTGTTTAAAAAATTTTTTTTTCTGGGCGGGGGTGAGGGGAGGTAACTCATTAACAAAAATATCAAATGATGCCCTAACTGGTTTGGCTCAGCAGACTCAAGGGTCCCAGGTTTGATTCCCGTCAAGGGCATGTACCTTGGCTGGGAGCACATCCCCAGTAGGGAGTGTGCGAGAGGCAGCTGATCGATGTTTCTCTCTCATCGATGTTTCTGTCTATCCCTCTCCCTTCCTCTCTGTAAAAAAATCAATAAAATATATTTTTTAAAAACATCGAATGATGAGTCAAAAATTAAGCACAGGATCTTAGACAACCCTACAAACGAGGGGCCTGGAGACTCCAGCTGCGTTAGCATTAAGGTAGAAGCACCCCTCTTCCAGGCCCTGCCCACTGAAAAATCTGGACACTCCAGATCCTGACAGGGCTTCCCTCCCTGTTTGTGAAACGTGGCAGATGAGGGCTGTGGAGTCCTGGGAAAGGAATCTCGTTTCTCCCAGGAGACAAGAGGAATTACAACAGCAGCGAGGCCGCTTTGTGAGGATGCAGCAGGCTGTGTGCCAGGGCCGCGTCCACAGGGGCTGGAGACCCGGCTGGCAGAGACGTGGGCCGGAGCCGAGTGGGTGCGGGAGACGGGCGGCCTGGGAGCAGGAGCCATGGCTGCCTGCAGAGCTGGGGCTCACGCCGCAGTCAGGCCTGTTGGAACCAGGCGTTCTCCCATCTTCTGGCTCCCCGCGTCCCCATAAACCTCCCTCCGAGGAGGAGGCGAGGCAGAGACAGACAACCGCGGCCGGCTGCAGGGGGAGGGCAGATCGCGGCCCCCGCCCGAGCTTCCCGATCTCCGGGCCGCGGGGTGCCGGAGCGCGGGAGGCCTGGCGCAGGCTGCCCGCCGCGGCTCGGCTGGGCTCGGGCGGGGAGGCCCGGGCGCCAGGCTCCCCGCGGGGCTCCGGCCGCCGGCGGGGCAGAGGGAGAGGGCGGCCGTGGGGGCCGCGCCCGTGGCCTGCTTTCCCAGGGCTGGCCCAGGCTTTTTGACAAGCTGATTCCGTGGCGAGGATTGGCTGGCCCCGGCGTGACGCCGATTAACAACAAAGGTGGAGTTGGAAGAAATTAGATTAAAGGAGAGAGAGAAGAGAAAAAAAAGAAAAAAAAATTTAAAGGGGGAGCTGGCAGGGGCCGGGAGGCAGAGGCCGGAGGGAGACGTGCGAAGCCTGGGCTCCTGGCTCCGAAGGGAAGCGCCTCCGAACACCCGCCGGGATTCCGCTCTCCGCCCCCCACCCACCCCGGCCCAGCTAGCGCAGCCTGGGCGCAAGGAATGGCCTCCGCTTCTAGAGAAACCCCCCAACTCCCACCCTGACACCCCTCGCTGTGGCTCAGGGGGAGAACTTTTTGCTCCTCGGACGCCTCGGATCCTCAGCCCGGCGGAGGTGAGGCGTATGGAGGACGACGAGAGGCTCGACCGAAAACCCGGAAGGCTCCCGCGGGGCCCGGAGATCGGACGAGGCGGGGTGCTTGCTCCCCGGGTTTTTCCATGTGTTGCAAATCTAAGAGCTTCTTTCTTGCCTCCCCCCCCCCCTCTTTTCTTTTCTTTTTTTTTTTTAATACCCCCCTCCCGTTGCTCTCCTCCTACCCCCCCTCCCCCCCGCTTTGGCTTTAGGGTTGCAAAAGCAAAGAGCAATAAAAAAAAAAAAAAAAAAAAAAAAAGCCGCGCACACACTCAGACACACGCCAGTGGCGACAGGGGAGAGTTGGAAAGACGCAGGAGAGAGGCAGGAGGCAGGAGGCGGCCGGGAGGGAGCCATGGGAGCGGGAAGCTGGAAGATTCCCTGGACGCAGATCCCCGTCCAGCCCCGCGCCGCCTCGTCGGCCCCGACCGACAGGGGAGCGAGGAGCCGGGCGAGCAGATGGAGGGCAGCTCGCTCCAGGCGGCGGGCTTGGCCGGAGCGCGGAGGAGCCGCCAGGCGCCCGGCTGATTGGAAGAGAAACGCAGAGCGATGGAGGCGGGGGTAGGAGGACGGTTCTCTGCGGGGACTGGCGGCGGCGTACACGCCCGGGTCGGGCGCTGCAGAGCTTGGCTGGCTTTCAACCCGCGCTCGCCGGCTCCAGCCCCGCGAGCCCCCACCCCCGGCCCTCCCGGCAGCCCCGCAGGTGAGTGCGAGCTGGGGGCCAGAGCCCCGAAAGTCCCCACACGCCCGCCCCGCCAAACAAAAAAAAGAAAAAGAAAAAAAAAAAAGCATTTTTCTTTTTTTTATTTACTTTCGTGCAGCCCCCAGCGCGGTGGGAGGGAAAGGGTGAGGCTGAGCAGCCCGCCCGGAGGAGGCGGAGGGGCCAGGCGAGGCCTGGGTGGCCGGGGAGGCGGCGGCGCCGAGGCGGCTCTGACGGCCGAGCGCTCGGAGCGGCGCCGCGCTGCGCCGAGGCGGGCGGGCGGGCGGGCGGAGCGGGGCGGGCGGAGCGCGGCGCGTGGGGCTCGCCATTAGCCGTCGCTCCGCTTCGCCATCTCGGGCTTTGTCTGGCGACTCACCGCCCCGGCGTCGGCTGCGGCGGAGCTGCGGCTCGGCTCTCCGGCCCGCCGCGCCCCTCGGCGCCCCCGGCCCGCGCTCCCCTCCGCACGCCCGGTAAGTGAGCCCCGGCGCCGCGGATTCCGGGGAGAGAGCTGCCGGGGAGGCGGCGGCGCCGGCTCCATGCGCCCGGCCAGGCCCGGGAGACATGCCGGGCTGGATTGAACCGGCTCCCCGAGAGGCTGCTCGGCCGGAGCCCGCCGCTCCCTCGCCTTTTCTGGGGTGTAAGAAGCAAAGGGCTTTTGTTTTTAAATTTACAGAAAAGGAATTTTGTAGGTTTACTGTCCTTTTTTAAAAAAATTTCACTTTCGTGTGTATTCCCTTCGGTAGCGAGGGAACCGCGAGGCAGGCGCCGAAGCCTGGCGCCGCGTACGACCAGCGTGCGCCCCGAGCCGGTGGCCACGCTCCGGGATGAGGGTGGGAGCGGCCCGCCGGCTCCGGGTGGCGGGAGCGGGCGTGGAAGCCCGAACCTGAGCCCAGAGGGCTTGGGGGAGAGCTCCGGAGCGGGGCTACGGGCGCCCCGAAGCCTCCCAGGCCGCCGGGGGGCCCTTCGGGCGCCCTCGCAGCCCGCGCCTCGCGCCCTCCCTCCCCGCGGCCGAGCATGCCAGTTCCCCCGCGGGTCTGGCGAGGTCGCTCTCGGCGCCCGCCCGTCCCGGCTCCGGGGCTCCGCCGCCATCCGGGCGGCTGCGTGTCTCCCTGCCCCGGCCCCCCCCCTCCCCGGCAGCAGCCGCCGCCGCCGCCGCCACCACCACACCGCCCCCCCTCCTCTCCTTCCTTCCCTCCGCCTCGGCCGCCCGGGTCCCCCCAGCTCCCGCCCCTCCTCCCCGCTGCCCCCCGCGGAGCCCGCCCGGGCAGGCTGTGGGAGGGAGCGGAGCCGGCGAGGCGGGCGGGCTGGCGCTCGCTCCCCGGGGGTCGGTGTGCGCTCCGCGGGGAAGGACGCGCTCGCTGCCCCGCTTCTCCCGCCCCCCTCCCGCTCCTCCTCCTCCCTTCTCCCTCCTCCTCCCCGCTCCGGCGGCGGAGGCTGCTGCGGCGGCGGGGGGTGTGCGAGCTGAGGCCGGGGCCGGCGGGCGGGCGGCGGCGGCGGGCGGGCTGCCTGCAGGCGGAGGGCGCTGTGCTTTGTGCTTTTCGCCGCGAGGAGCAGCAGGCGCAGCCACAGCCGCCGCCACAGCAGCAGCAGCAGCAGCCGCCGCCCCAGCGCTGCCGCCGCGCCCGGAGGAGGAGCTGCTGCCGCCGCGGGAGGGAGCTGCGGCTGTGCCCGGCCGAGCGGGGGAGGGCGCCGCCGCTCAGAACCGGGGAGGGCGCCGCCGGAGCGGGAAGCCCGGAGGCCGCGCCGAGCCGGGTAACCGAAGCGGCTGGGGACGCATCCGCGGCCAGGACTGGGCGGCGGGGAGCGGACCGCGGGTGCGGTGGGCGCCCGGAGGGGTCCCGGGGCCACCTCCGGGCAGAACGCGGGGCGAGGGAGGACCGGGGTGCTGGAGAGGGCGCCGAGGACCGGGGGAGGGGAGGGAGGGCAGGAAGCGAGGCCCCCGCCGAGCCCCGGCCGCGAGCGGAGGAGGCCGCGCTCCTGCGAGCCGGCGGGCGCAGTTCTCCGCGGCCGCCGGAGGGGGCGGCGGGGCCGGGGAGCGCGGCGCCCCCGCCTCCGGGCCGCCGTCCTCCCGCCCTCTCCTTGGCTCGGCTCCCCGGAGGCCGGGGCGGGGGCGCCGGCGGGGCTGGGCCGCCGGCTCGGGGGGAAGGCGGCGGGCGGCTCCCGCCGCGGTCGCGCCTCTGCGCCGGGCTCCTCCGTGCGCTCCGGGCGGCTGGGCGGTGGCGGCGCCGCTGGCCCGGGTGGGTGGCGCGGGGGTGGGGGCCGGCCGCTCCGTTCCGGCTGCTCGCCCGCCCGCCCGGGCGGGCAGGGACGGCGTCGGGTGCCCGCGAGGGGGGGCGGCGGGAATCCGGATCCGGTCCCCGGGGGCGGTGCGGCCGCTGCTCTCCGGGGCCGGCGGCGGCTGCGTCGCGTCCGGGTCCCCGCCGGGCTGCGGAGGCGGGGGGAACCGGCGGGGGGAGGCGGGAGGAGGAGACTGCGGCGCGTGCCCGCGGCCGCCGCGCCCGCGCGCGCCCTTTACCCGCCCTTCCTCCTCCCCGCCCGGCAGCCGGGGCCTCCCCTGCGGGCGGAGGGAGGAGGAGCTCCGGCCGGGGTGGGGGAGGAGGGCGGGCGCTAGCTGCACGCGGGAGCTGGGAGCTGGGAGCTGGAGCAGTGTCTCGCGTGGGCAGGGGAGGGCGCACGCCGCCGAGCCTGGCTGCAAGGGCTGGGGGTGGGGGTTAGGGGGGGAGAGGGGGAGAGTCCCCTCGCACCCACCTACCCATTAAACCTATAGGGTCCTGACAGGGTGTCTCGGAGAGGGGGACGTTGGCCCCCCTCCCCTCCGGGGGAGGGAGGAATAGAAACTCCCTCTGCCCGCCTGAGTAGAGGCTGCTCTCTCTTCTGAAGGGTGAGGTGGCGTTGAACCCGGATCGCCCGGCCAGCGTGACCGAGGAGGAGGTGGCTGGAGGTGGCCGGACGGCTGGAGAATGAACGGAGAAGCAGACTGCCCCACAGACCTGGAAATGGCCGCCCCCAAAGGCCAAGGTAGGAGCCCCGTCCTTAGTCCTCTTTAACTTAAATCCCCTTTTCCACACGGCTGTCTCCGCTCCCCTCCTTCAGGGCTTCTCCACGCTGCATTCTCTGCATGGAGATAGGGCGAGGGTGTCTGTAAGGGTCACGCACCCCTCACACGGGGGGTTTGGCTCAGTCCAAGTGATTAAGCCTTGTCTTTTTCACACTCCGTGTGCCCCCTCCCCCACACCACCCTCCCCTGTGTCAGAGAGGAGGAGGCCCCTGTAAGCCTTCCTTCTGGGGTTCCCAGTCAGACCGGGATGTGTCCTGGAATGGGAGGAAGGAGGAGGAACGTGGAGGCAGGGGGAGAGGAGAGGGCTTGGGAAAGATTTTCAGGGTATTTTTTTTTTATTACTAAGAGGAAGAGTTTTTTTGGTGAGGTACTTGGAAAGGGTGGGTGGATGGTTTGAGGCCCTAAACCCAGGGAGTTATTTTTATAACTAGAGCTTAACCCCAACCAGGAGGGATCCAGCGTGTATGGGGGGGCAGGGGGCAAGAGGAGGCTGAGCATCTGGGCCACGGAGAGGAGAGGGGACTATCGGTTTATGTGACCTGCCTTTCAGGAACCCAGGCCCGGGTCACCAGATGTAAATGCAAATGAGGAGCCTTGGGTCGCTGCTCTCTCCCAGGCACTCTCTGGGGTAGGCCTCACTGCAGCTGCGTTTCAGTGACTGGCCCAGACCCCTTCTAGGCCTACACGGGAGTCAGGCTGAGAAGACAACTCAGAGTCCTGGGGGTCCTCCGGGAGCAGGCTCCGAGGGCCTTCGCCTGCCTTGCACTAAAGCTTTCCTTTATGGACACAGAATGACCATTTCCATTCAGGTTTTCTCACTTGCCCCAAATTCTCCTCAGACCTTCCTTCAGAGGCGGGAGGTAGGGGGATGATGGAATGCCCATTTCTCTAATGTTAGTTCCCAGCTGTGCTGGAGAGAAGCACTGCATTGCTTCTCCTTACTACCCACATTCCATCCTCAGTTGTTGAACTCTTAGGGTATCTGCCTAGAATTTGGACTTGAACTTGGCGGCACATTTAGAAATGGTGCCTCTTGCTTCCCTCCCCTCTCTGATAAGCTGTTTTCCCAATGGGCCTCAATCACAGTAGCTCCATTTCCTCCTTCCCTACAATAAATAGTACCTTGTGGCGCTCAGGCCTGGCTTTCTAGGTATGACCCTGTCTGGACAGGCGTCGCTGGTCTAATTCATACGGCCACCGTTCCTCCTCAGGGGTCAGGGCTAGGCCATGTTTGTGTCTCCAGAGGGGAGGGAACCAGGGACCGGGGAGGAAGAGTTGAGCATTTAGGAACTGGGGCATTGATGAGGGGAGAGCACGAGCCAGTCATGACCACCTTTCTTACCCCTCTCCAGACCGCTGGTCTCAGGAAGACATGCTGACTTTGCTAGAATGCATGAAGAACAACCTTCCGTCCAACGACAGTTCCAAGTTCAAAACCACTGAGTCACATATGGATTGGGAAAAAGTAGCATTCAAAGACTTTTCTGGAGACATGTGCAAGCTCAAATGGGTGGAGATTTCTAACGAGGTAACTGATGACACCCGCCCTTCCCCCTTCCCGACACACAGGAGCACACACATCTGTACAGACCCCTGCCTTAACCTTCCTGGTGTGGGAGATGAAACAGAAATCTGTGAACAGGAAGGAAGAGACCGAGTGCATTTTGGGAGGCGGTACAGTCGACAGCACTGGCCTAGCGTTCTCCGTTCTGCCAGTGTCTCTGGCTTTGTGGCCTTGGAGCTTCTGTTTCCTGAGCTCTCCTGGGGGCTGAATGGGGTGCCGGCGTAGACAGCCACATTGCGGTCAGGTGGTCCCCGTGCCCTTCGCTGTGTCTGACTGCCTGGGCCTCTGCAGCAGGCCCAAGCCAGTGCCCGGGCGTCTGCTCTGATGTCAGCAGCCCCCGGGTTGTGCGCTGTTGGCCTCTGCTCCTCCTCTTTTGCTAAGTTTAGTCTAATGGGAGGTAGAGGAAGACGAGAGGATGCTCCTGGGTGGTGCCCCCTCTTCGGAACTTCCCCTTCCACTCACCTTTCTCCTCCCTCCAGGTGAGAAAGTTCCGTACATTGACAGAACTGATCCTCGATGCCCAGGAACATGTTAAAAACCCTTACAAAGGCAAAAAGCTCAAGGTGAGTTTCCAGGAGGAGGAGGAGGAGCACGGGGGGTCAGAGCGGAATGGCCCAAAGAACGGACGGTGTCTGACCTTCACTGTGTCCTTGTCCCTTGTTCCAGAAACACCCCGACTTCCCAAAGAAGCCCCTGACCCCTTATTTCCGCTTCTTCATGGAGAAGCGGGCCAAGTACGCTAAGCTTCACCCTGAGATGAGCAACCTGGACCTGACCAAGATCCTGTCCAAGAAATACAAGGAACTGCCCGAGAAGAAGAAGGTGGGGGGAGGGGGGCCGAGGCGGCCGGGAGGGAAAGGGCTGGGAGCAGCTGGCGTCGTGCGGGTCAGCTGCTGGGGTCAGGGGGTGGGACTTGGACAAAGGGACTTGGTGTCGGGGATGTGGGTGGGTCCAGACAAAGGGACTTGGTGTCAGGGATGTGGGTGGGTCCGCAGAGCAGCGTAGGGTCTTGGGCAGCCACGCCTGACCACCCACTTCCCGGCTCACACACCGTAAATTGCGGGCACTGTCACAGTGTAACCCAGGCCGAGCTAGGTGCTGGGACCAACCACCGTCCACAGCGTTGGTTGCTTTACACAGCTCTGCTCCCAGCGCACACCCTCACTGTGAGGCCCGCACAGCAGTTCTTCCCCCTCTGACATGTCCCGACATGGTCTCCCTTGACGCTGGCTGGCAGTGTCCTCGTAAAGGCAACCCCGGAAGAACAGGTTACCCGATTCTGTAAGCAGGGACCCGGGGTGCTGGAGGGCGTGGAGTCCCAGGTCACAGAACTAACGATGCTGGAGCCGGGCTCGCCTTTAGTGCTCTAGACTCCCTGCCTGGTGCTCCTCTCATTGCCACGTCCGTGTGTGAGGTGGGTTTCCTTCCCACGCACACGTTTGCCCACGGATACACATGGTCTCTGGTGGCCTCATGCCATGCTAGACCATTGGAGGCTGTCCACCTTGAGCAGAGGTCGCCCTCGCCTCTGAGGCAGAGAGAGACGGTCAAGCACAGTGAGAGCAATAGGCCCTCAGAGAGAGGCAGCGAAGCCCTGGGGGACCTTGCAGCTGGGACGTGAGTGAGATGGGGCAGGGAGAGAGGGATTCAAAGAAGAGATGCTAGACGGCCAGGATGGAGCCAGAGAGGGAATGAGGGGCATCAGAGTTGTCTACAACCAGCTCACGGGAGGTGGCACTGGCCGCTGCCCTGTGAGTAACCCTTTGCCCGGTGTATGCACACTGGCTGCGGGCTCTCATGCCCTTGGTTTTCGGCTCCACAAAGGAGCAGATTTGGCTGGGTGAAACCAGCTGTCTTCCCCTGCTGCCTGAGGCGAGCAGGAGCCTGAATTGCTGGAGCTGTTGACCCTTTGAGGGGATATTGAAGAGCTAGCTAACTGTACGAGCGACACGCAGTCACTCACGGGATGGGAGGAAGAGAGGGTGTGAGGGCCGGGGCGGGAAGGAGGAACTGATAGAGTGGATAGTGCGCTGGCCTGGGGGACGTGAGGCTCGGACCTGTCCTGGCTCCCGCTGACCTGCTGTGTGTGCCCTTCGGTAAGTCACGTCACTTCTCCAGTCCTGGTCTCACTGGCAGGTGTGGAGGCTGCAGTGCCACCAGCTCGCCAAGCTGCTGTTGTGTGAGGCGGGCTGGGCTCTGCTCCCAGCTTTCTGTGGGAGCCCGAGGAAAGCGGGGCTTCCCGCATCTGGTGTCTCTTTGGTGAGAGGCAGGGGTTGGGCTCAAACACTATGAGCCCCGGGCCTCTTCCAGGGCTAATGATTATGAATCTAGGCAAGCAGGCGGGGGAGAGGGAGGTGAACACTGACTGGAGCCATGACCGAAGGTAGATCAGAAAGGAAAAGACGTTGGGAAGGAAGGAGAGAAGTAGGGGTGATGGTTGGGAAGGAGGACCAGGCTGATGGAATGGGGGGGAGGGGTTGAAGGAGAAAATGGGGACGCCAAGTGGCAGAGGAGAAGGCAATGGCTGAGGAGGGAAGGAGGATGGTATCCGAACTGTGATCCAGAGGTGGTGGATGGGGAAATATCCCAATTTAGGATATCTATTAGGATGTGACTTGCATTGCGAGAATTCACTGGGTTCCCTTCAACACACTCCTCTCCTGCCTTGGAAGCAGGACTACCTCTGAGGGGCTAGACCAGTGGTCGGAAAACTGTGGCTCTTTGGCCCCTTGAGTTTTTAGCAAAGGCCAGCTTTAGGAGTGCCCTCATTGAGTTAATAACAATGTACCTAGCTATCTAGTTTAAGTTTAAAAAATTTGGCTCTCAAAAGAAACTTACCGTATTTTTCGGACCATAAGACGCACCAGTTTTTAGAGAAGGGAAATGAAGAAAAAAAGATTCTGAAACAAATAGTGTCCTAAAATATTTTATGTGCATTAAAACCCAACATCACAGTCATAAACACATGTAATCAACCCTGTAAAGTAAACAGCAGCATTTAGAACCATTTTAGAGCCGGGCAAGCACACACAGACTACACAGAGCCGGGCAAGTAAAAAAACTTTTTTTTAAAAGTATATGTGTAGGCTATATTTGGACCATAAGACGCAGGGACTTTTCCCCCCCACTTCTGGGGGGAAAAGGTGCGTCTTATGGTCCGAAAAATACGGTAAGTCGTTCTACTGTTGATATTTGGCTCTGTTGACTAGTGAGTTTGCCGACCACTGGGCTAGACCAGTATCAGTTGCCACAGGCATGGGAGGAGGGCGTGATGGAGGCGGTTCCTACACCTCCTGACAGCTCATTGTGGGAGTTTTGAGGTGCTGGGGAAGGTGGGGGGCAAGGTTTGGGGGGAGTCCCAGACCTGTCACTGTTTACTGTTTGCCTGGGTGTCATAAACAAAAGGAATAGGGTGTGTTCTGGGGGACCCCTGTAAGCTCTCACTAACCTGGGGTCTGCCCCCACCCGCCACCCCCCGACTGGAAGGCAGGCCACACCCTCCGCCCGCACATGCCATCTTCCATTCGCCGGCGTCACAAGCTGGGAGGCAAAACAGCTGGCAAGGAGGACTGGCTTTGGTACTCAGGCCTTGGGTTGTGGATGACCCCGTCCCCTCCTCCCCCCAGATGAAGTATATTCAGGACTTCCAGAGGGAGAAACAGGAGTTCGAGCGAAACCTGGCCCGATTCAGGTAAGGCAGTGGAGCCCAGAGAAGGGCCACAGGGCACCGGGTGCGACAGGACAGGGCGACACTGACCAGAGCCTCAAGCTTGCCATCCGTGAGGCATGGGAGATGACAGGTCAGGTGCAAACCCTAGTGGGTCCTGCTCACGGGCGGGGACAGGCAGGCAGCCGCTGTCCCACTAGTCCCCCATCGGCAGTCCTAGGAGCCTCAGCGGGCGGGACAGCTAGCGGGGTCAGCCCTGGCAGGGTCTCCCTCCAAACGGCTGATTGTTGCTCCCCGTGCCCCGGCTAGGGAGGATCACCCTGACTTAATCCAGAATGCCAAGAAGTCGGACATCCCCGAGAAGCCCAAAACCCCCCAGCAGCTGTGGTACACCCACGAGAAGAAAGTGTATCTCAAGGTTCGGCCAGATGTGAGTGTCCGGCCGAGGGGCGGGGGCAGAGGGCACGTGGCGGTGGCAAGGGGGGGAGCCGCGCCAGGTCGGCCGGGCATGGAGCAGGAGAGGAGGCCCCTCCCCAGGGGTGGGCTGCATGGACAGGGCCTGGGCCAGCTGGCGTGCAAGCGTGTGCGTGCGCGTGTGAGTGAGCCTGTCCCCTTGCACCCAGGCGGGACCCCCGCCTCTCCGCCTTCTCCTCCTGGCCTGTGGGGGACACTCCTGTGACCTCCTGTGGCCCGAGGGGGCGGGGCCTCTGTGCCCCCCACCCCCCTCCCTTCCCCCCGCCCCTGGCTGCCTGCGTGTGTCTGACGGCTTTTGGTTTGCAGGCCACTACGAAGGAGGTGAAGGACTCCCTGGGGAAGCAGTGGTCTCAGCTCTCGGACAAAAAGAGGCTGAAATGGATTCATAAGGCCCTGGAGCAGCGGAAGGAGTACGAGGTTAGGCTTCCGCTGCGCTCCTCCCCGTCCGGCTCTTCATGAGCCTCTGCCCTCGACTCGGTGGCCCCCGCACTCCGCGGGAGGCGGTCACTCCCGTCCCTCCGTTGAGGGAGGGGCCTTCTGGCCCCTCACCTCTGCCCCTACCTTCCCCACACCCCCCTCCCCGTGAGATCTCAGGCTAGGGCAGGGCAGGGCACCATTTGTGTGGCGCACACACACACACGGCCACCCCCCAGCTTTGCTCCCTGCCCCCCCTTCCCAGCGGCTCTCCCCCCCTCCTTCCTGGCCCCCCGCTAACCCCACACCCCGTCGCCCTCCGTCCTCCCACCTCGCTCTGCAGGAGATTATGCGCGACTATATCCAGAAGCACCCTGAGCTGAACATCAGTGAGGAGGGCATCACCAAGTCCACCCTCACCAAGGCTGAGCGCCAGCTCAAGGACAAATTCGATGGGCGACCTACCAAGCCGCCTCCGTGAGCTCTGCCCCCGGGGTGGGGGGCGAGCGGGCACCTGGGCAGGCAGGGGGCTGCCTGGTGAAGGCCCCGGGCCCAGGCTCTGCTGCCCCAGGCCGCCCCGTGGCTCACAGGGACACTCCTCCCTCGCTTTGGTCCTGGCAGGAACAGCTACTCGCTGTACTGCGCGGAGCTGATGGCCAACATGAAGGACGTGCCCAGCACGGAGCGCATGGTGCTATGCAGCCAGCAGTGGAAGCTGCTCTCGCAGAAGGAGAAGGATGCCTACCACAAGAAGTGCGACCAGGTGAGCTGCGGCCGGAGCGCCCTGCAGAGGGAGGGTTCCCGGAGAGCCTGGAGAGCCTTGAAGCGTGAGGTCTGACCCCTTGGGCACCTGCTTCAGAGTTGGTGTGCTGGGTTTAGCACCCGGATAGACCAACAGATAACGTTGGGCCTTTCGCTTACACCTGTGGAGGGTTCCCAGTGAGCCTGCCCCACCCAGACTGACCCTGGCTCCCCTTCCTTCCCCAGAAAAAGAAAGATTACGAGGTGGAACTGCTCCGTTTTCTGGAGGTGAGTGGGTGAGGCAGGGTGCGAGACCCGCTGGACCATTTGGGGGTGAGCTGGGGACAGCGCACAACCCCATGCTGCCTCTTCTCCCCGCACCAGAGCCTGCCGGAGGAGGAGCAGCAGCGGGTGCTGGGGGAAGAGAAGATGCTGAGCATCAACAAGAAGCAAGCCACCAGCCCGGCCTCCAAGAAGCCCTCCCAGGAAGGGGGCAAGGTGGGCAGGGAGCACCACCGAGCTGGGGGGGGTGGGGAAGGCAGGCTCCCTGTCAGCACTCCATTGACTGACCCTCTTTGCACACATACAGGGCAGCTCCGAGAAGCCCAAGAGGCCGGTGTCAGCCATGTTCATCTTCTCCGAGGAGAAGCGGCGGCAGCTGCAGGAGGAGCGGCCGGAGCTCTCGGAGAGCGAGCTGACCCGCCTGCTGGCCCGCATGTGGAACGACTTATCGGAGAAGAAGAAGGTCAGGCGGGCCAGACCAGAGGGGCTGCCAGGCATCTGGATGTGGGCCGCTTCTCCTCTGGGGCCTGGCTGCACTGCCTCGCCCCTGCCCTGGGCCAGCCACACTTGTGCTCGGGCTCAGATGCCAGGGCTGGGCGCCCAGCGAGAGCCGGAAGGCGGGAAGCTGTCAGCTGAGGGCTGTTGGCTCCCTGGGGAGCAGCGTGGTGGGCGGGGCTGAGCCCGGGGCTGGAGACTCTGCACTGGCCCAGCGGCTGCTGGTCCCGCCCTGGCTGCGGTGGGAACCTTCCGACAGCTGGATGGGGAACGAGCGCCCTCTGGGGGTGGCTGAGAGGCTGACGCCTGGTGCCATCCCTCTGCAGGCCAAATACAAGGCCCGGGAAGCAGCGCTGAAGGCCCAGTCGGAGAGGAAGCCGGCTGGGGAGCGCGAGGAGAGGGGCAAACTGCCCGAGTCACCCAAGAGAGCCGAGGAGATCTGGCAGCAGAGCGTCATCGGTGACTACCTGGCCCGCTTCAAGGTAGGAAAGGGGCGCAGAACGGTGGTTCTGCAGCCTGCCCACCCAGGCCTCCCCCCAGTCCCGGGGGACCCCTCCCACCGCTGACACCCCTGTCTGTCCCCAGAATGACCGGGTGAAGGCCTTGAAAGCCATGGAGATGACCTGGAACAACATGGAGAAGAAGGAGAAGCTGATGTGGATTAAGAAGGCGGCCGAAGATCAGAAGCGCTATGAGGTGGGAAGGGGCTGCTGGTTAGAGTTGTGCCATGGGGTGGGATGGAGCCGGGGCTGCCACCCTCCGCTTACAATGTGGGGGCCCCCTTTCTGGCGTGCAGCTTTCTTCACTGCTTGGTGCTCCGTGCCCCAAATCCCAGCCTTGGTTGTGTGACCCAGAACAAGTCTCTCAGCTTCCTTCTCTGAGCCTCAGTCACACGTCAGTTAAACGGAGCTGACAGTGGAAGTCACACGAGTGCAATTACGGCAGCACGTTCAAACCACAGTGCCCACCGCAGCTGTGGATTATTAGGAAGTTGCTCCCTGGCTGTGCCTCAGTTTCTCCTCCTTCCTGGCACACAAAAGGAGTCAGCGGAGACACTCATGGCATGGGACAAGAGATAGAAATATGTTGGGGGGGGTTGGGGACGGGATGCCTGTAACCTTTCTGCGTATCCCCGCAGAGAGAGCTGAGTGAGATGAGGGCACCCCCGGCTGCTGCAAACTCATCCAAGAAGATGAAGTTCCAGGGAGAACCCAAGAAACCTCCCATGTGAGTCTGGAGCCCCCCCTGGAGGCAAGGAGGGTCAGAGCTCCTGGGATGGTAAGCTGACCCTCCCCCACACCATGCCCGCTCCTCAGGAACGGTTACCAGAAGTTCTCCCAGGAGCTGCTGTCCAACGGGGAGCTGAACCACCTGCCCCTGAAGGAGCGCATGGTGGAGATCGGCAGCCGCTGGCAGCGCATCTCCCAGGGCCAGAAGGAGCACTACAAGAAGCTGGCCGAGGAGCAGCAGAAGCAGTACAAAGTGCACCTGGACCTCTGGGTCAAGGTGAGAGGGCGGGGGACCCTGGGAAGAGGGAGGCATCGCGCTGGCTGGTCTGCATGCATGATTTTATTTGGTGTCCCACAAGGTAATGATTACTATCAAAGATAAGGAAACCAGTGTTCAGAGAGGTTAGGTAACTTACCCAAGACCACACAGCTAGCTAGGAAGAAAAATCTAAGTCAGACTGCCTTTTCCTTCCCGTTTGGAACCAGGGGGCCTCTCCTAGAGCCTAGCGTGGCCCCTCTCAGGGCCTTGGTTCAGCAGTCAGGTCTGGAAAGAGTTTGTCACTCAGGCAGGCTGGCCAAGGACCCAGGGAAATAGCAGGGTTTGGGTATTCAGGAAGTTTGGTGAGGCCCCCAGGTGTGGTTTTGGGGTGTGAGTGGGGTGCCAGGCTCTGGGGGAAGGGAGTTACCATGGGGAACTTCTGAATTGAGGAAGGCCCCAGTTCTGGAGCTTTCGTTTGAAGGGACATGAAAAACAAGTCTTAGGACAGGGTGGCTCGAAAAGGACTCGGGGCGTCGTAAGCAGAAATCCTGGCACGTGGTTCTCAGAGCCCAGGGGTTCTCTGCAGAGACCCAAGCTTAGGGAGGCCGGGAGGAGGAACGGAGGTTCCTAGAAAGTGCTTGGCCCCACAAGGTGGTGTTCCAACGCTTACCTCCTCCTCCTCCTCCGTCTCTCCCAGAGTCTGTCTCCCCAAGACCGGGCTGCATACAAAGAGTACATCTCCAACGTAAGTCCGGGAGCAGGGCGGCACCGGGGTCAGGAGAGATCGGGGGTGCTGGGGCTCACGGCCACTCCCTCTGTATCTCCGTCCTCTCCTACAGAAACGTAAGAGCATGACCAAGCTGCGAGGCCCGAACCCCAAGTCCAGCCGGACTGCACTGCAGTCCAAATCCGTAAGGAGTCCCGCTGGCGGGGGCGGGGGGCTCAGCACCTGGAGTGCTGAGGCAGAGACCACTGACGCCGCCCTGTCCCTCTTAGGAGTCTGAGGAGGAGGAGGATGAAGATGAGGACGAGGAGGACGAGGATGACGAGGAAGATGATGATGAGAATGGGGACTCCTCTGAGGATGGCGGGGACTCCTCCGAGTCCAGCAGCGAGGACGAGAGCGAGGACGGGGATGAGGTGGGGTGGACGGGCGTGGTGGGGAGGGAGGCGGGGGCCCTGCCAGGAGGGCCACCTGCTGATGGCATGCTTCTTGCCCCCAGAACGAGGAGGACGATGAGGATGACGACGAGGATGAGGATGACGACGAGGATGAAGACAACGAGTCTGAGGGTAGCAGCTCCAGCTCTTCCTCCTCAGGGGACTCTTCGGACTCTGACTCCAACTGAGGCTCAGCCCCAACCCGGGGCGCCCCTCTCCGACGGACGCCTTTGTTTTCCCCCCTTGTTCTGTCCCCTGCCCCTGGCCTCCCCCACTCTCTTTCTTTCTCTCTTTTTTAAACAAAACATGGTGGGGGAAGGGGCTGGAGGAGCCCAGGCCAGGACTCTGCAGCCTCAGAGACATCAGCCCTGGGGACTCTCCAGGGAGGGCAAACCATCAGACTGAGCCACCCCTGGACTGGGCCGGCCCACCACTTCTGCACTTGCGGTTCCGGCATGGACAATGGACCTGGGAGCGGGGGGGTGGGGGTCCCCCAAAGAGTTCAGTGAGGACCTCTAAACCTGCAGCCCAACTTAAGGGGGGGAGGAAGCTTGGGAAGGACCCCTCCCTTCCCAGAGGGGCTTGCTGCCTGGACCCCCTACGTTGGAACTAGAGGCAGGGAATGTGGGGAGGAGGGCACGTGCCTGTGAGAACACAGGCCCTGCCCCATTGCCCTCTCCCCTGCCCCCTGCAGGAAGGAGCTACCTGGACCCACTCTTGGCGGGGGAGGGGGCAGAGGTGTTTTTTATATATGTGTATATATTTTTTTTTAAGCTCTGAGCTGTCAACGAGACGTTTCCTACCGATCTCGGCTGCCGTCTCTGTTGTCATTTCTCCGGGAGGGAGGGTTTAGGGGGGTAAGTTTGGGAATTTTTAAAACTTGATACGAATGGAAAAGTGAGTGTGTGTGTGTGTATGTGTGTGTGTGTGTGTGTGTCCCCTGTACATAGCATGGGTGTACCTGTGGATGTGTGCAAAGGCACGTGTGTGTGTGTGTGTGTGTGTGTGTGTGTGTGTGTAAGGGGGGGGAGCCCACATCAGTCCATGAATCTGGTAAAAGGGTTGACAAAGGCCAGGGTGACGTTGATCCTGGTGGGGACAGGCTGGGGCGGCCTCTTTCTCTACACCCTCTGCTTTGCCTAATCTCTGATTCAGTTAAAGCGGGCGTACCGAAGCCCCTCTCTGATGCTTCCTAGCAGCTTCCCTCTGCCAGGGCCATAGGACTCTGAGCTGCCGCTGGTCTCCAGCAGGATGGCAGGGAGGGAGGCAGACCAGCTGAAAATTAAAGCTTGTCTTTGGTGGAAAGAGCCTCAAGCCCGTCCCAGGCGCAGGACCTGGGCTTCAAGAGGTGTGTCGCAAGCTCTTATCCCTCCTGCCTTCATACCCTCCAGCTCCCCTGCCCCCATTTCCTTTGATTTCTCAGGTCTGCTCCATTCCTGTCCCCCCACCACACCCCGGCCCGAACCCACAGCTGGGGAAGAGGTCTATAAAAGCTGCTTTTGCAGCTGTCCCTCTAACCCTTCCCAGCTATCCCCAAAATTTTGGAACTCTGATTCCTAGATCCTTAATAAGCCAAGCCACCTTGTCTCTGTGGGTTTAATTTTTTTTTTTTTTTTTTTTTTGCAATCATGTCAGTGAGCTATTTAATTGGGTCTCTGTGCTTTTCAACCTTCCCCCTTCCCCCCCCCATGGAAGCCAAGAAATGGGGGGAGAGTGGGAGCTCCACCTCGGAGGTGAGATGGGAAACATGGATCCTGCTCCCAAAGGAAGGCAGTCTTCGCCTTGGACGTGGTGCTGGGGTCAGGGGAGCTAAGGGAGGGATACTCCCCACTCCCACGCCCCTTCCTTTGTCCCTATCCTGGAGTTAGGCACAGGGCCTCACAGGTTCTATTTCTTACCAGGAGCCCCTGCAGAGAACCCCAGTCCCTGTGTGAGTGCCCCTGTGCTGTTGTGTTTTAGTGGAATGTGTTTTCATTTAAAAACAACTTTGAATGGGGCGCTTTTTATTTCCTGTTTTAAAAAATTGAAAAATTCTTACAGTGCAAACAGGGCTGTGGGGGTGGGGGTGTTGGTGCTGTAAGAGGTCACTCTGAGTGCATTTTGGCACTGGGATGGGATGGCTGGGGTGGGAGGACCCCCACATCCCCCCTCCCCTTTTTTTTCTAATATTTAAGGAGTGTTTTTGTAGGTTTCAACAACAACCACAACTTGAATTTGTATCATGGGAGGGGGAGGGAGTGGCTTAGAGGTGTCTGCCTAAGCTAAAGGCCAACTGTGGAAGTTTTGTTTTCCCTTTTTTTGTACAATAAAGTGGAAAGAAAAAAAAAATGGTTTGACTGCCATGTGATCACTGGAATCCATGAGAGTGGGAGGCAGGGTCCAATGTGGGAAGACCCTTGAAGCCAACTTGTTTGCCCCTTTTTCTAGAACCATCTTTCTCTTTCCTGAAAATTCCATAGGCAACCTACCTTCACCTTGTTTTGTGCTGCTGGTTCTTGTACTTTCTCATTTCAGTTGGTTCACCGTGGGTGGTCAGACCACTAAGGGCTGAGGAGAAAAGTGACATCATTTCCTCCCAGAGTGCACTGCCTTGGGAAACGGGGGTCAGGGGTTCAGCCCGGTCACCTAAGGGCTTATCACTGGGAGTTGGGGCAACCTTGCCACCTGGAGTCCTCAGCCTCACCCAAGGTTAGGAGGGACTTTGCTAACCCCACCCAGACCTCTGATGGGAAGTGGGCTGGGCCTTGATGACTCGCTCTCTGCTGTGCAGGAAGGCGGCCTTCCCTGCACAGGCCTTGTCAGGGTTCCCGGAATCACCGAGGCTTGTAAACCAGGCCCTGTCCAGGAGCTCTTGTCTCATCTCCACACCCGTCTTCCTCTTGGCAAAGCTGAAAAGCTCATTGCCCCTCGTGGTCTCCTATGTCCTCGCCTCCCACTCAGCACTCCCGTGGAGTCACTAATAGTTTGTTACCTCCGGCGGGTACTTGTCTATCTCCTAACTTGGTCTACTCTGCTGGTATCAGTTCTCCTCATTCTATCCCAAAGTCAATCAATCTCCAAATATCACCCATAGGTAAGCTTTCCAAAAAGCAGTATCTAAGAAAACATTCTCCCACGATACAGACCTGTACAGACTTATTTGTATCCTCTGGGATATCTGGGGGAGTGGGGGTCCTCAAGATAACCCCATCTCACAACTCAAGACGCAAAATGATCACCAACCATCTACAATAGTTATTCAACCTAGAAACCATGGTCCTAGCCTTGATTCCTCTTTCCCTTTCATTTTCGCATTTATTCCTTTTGCCAGACCTGCCCATTCTACTTCCTGTATCTCTCTGAAATCTATTTACCCTTCTCCACTGCTGCCATACTATATTATTAAAGACCACACCATTGCTCAACTTCTGCTGAGACCTTCTCAAGTTGGTTTTCCTGCCTGCACCTTCCCCTCTACAGTCCATTCTGCACACAGCAACGCAAGTTGCTTAAAGATCATTTAAAAACACCTGGCCTAGCTAGTGTGGCTCAGTGGTTGAGCATCGATCGATGAACCAGGAGGTCACTGTTGGATTCCTGGTCAGGGCACATGCCTAGGTTGCTAGCTCAGTCCCCAGTAGGAGGCATGCAGTAGGCAGCCGATCAATGATTATCTCTTATCATTGATGTTTCTATCTTCCTCTCTGAAACCAATAAAAATATTTTTAAATAAATCTAATCCTAGATGGTGGCTAGAACGTCTGTCCTCAGACTGAAGGGCCATGGGTTCGATTCCAGTCAAGGGCATGTACCTCGGTTGCAGGCTCAATCCCAGGCCCTGGTTGGGTGGGTGCAGGAAGCAACATATATATATAATCTTCTGGTGAGGATTAACCAAACAAATATATATATACATATTTGTTTGATTATTTGTGTACTTAATAATTTGTGTACTTAATAATTTGATTATTTCTGTACTTAATAATTCACCATGCCTTACCATGACCATACAAGGTCTGGGCCTGCTTTCCTTCTTTCACCCTCCTCCTAACCACTTGCAATTATCCAGCCAAGTAATCCCTTTTGTTCCTCAAATATGCCTACCATAGGGCTTTTGCATGTGTTCTCTGCCCAAAATGCTATGCCTCCAACTCTACAAATAGCTAGTTTTCTCATTTTTCAGGCCTCAGCTCAACTGTCACCTCACAAACAGGTCTTCCCTGACCACCCTCTCTAGAGAGGCCTTGTCCTACAGCTCCTTGTTTATGTATTTGTTTATTTTCTATCTCCCCGAGTAGAAGATACTCTTTATCTGCTTGTTCATTACAGTAGTCCACACCATTGCTCAACTTCTGCCAAGTAAAACTGCCTCGCACACATGTGACACTCAGGAAAGATTTGTTGAATCCGTGAATAAGTATGGCTTACATGGCCCAGGGGGAGCTGCTGTCCCTGCTGGCCTCTCTGCCCCAATTCAGCCACACCAGCCATCCATACCACACATACCACACTCTCTTCCCGGGCCTGTACACATTCTGCCTATCCACATAACAGTTCCCTCTGCATCTTTCCACCGAGGTTAACTCAGGGCTCCATTTATTGTATTTTTTTAAACAAGAGGCCTGGAGCACAAAATTTATGCACTTGGCGGGGGTGGGGGTGGGGGTGGGGGGATCCTCTGCCTGGCCTGCACAGACTGGGAGCCCTCGCAGTCCGGGAGCCCTTCAGGGATGTTGTGGGGAGCGGGCCTAAGTCAGTTGGACATTCTCAGCGCTGCTGCGGAAGTGGGAGAGGTTCCTGCCATCGCTGCTGCACTAACAGCCCTGAGCCGGCTTTTGGTTGAGTAGTACTTCCCCTGTGAGAACGCACTGACCACCAGGGGGCAGCTCCTGCATTGAGCATCTGCTCCCTGGTGGTCAGTGTGCATCATAGCAACCGGTCATTCAGCCTTTGGTCGATTTGCATATTAGCCTTTAATTATATAGAATTACTTTTAAAAAATATTTTTAAAATTGATTTTAGAGAGAAAGGGACAGGGAGAAATATAGAAACATCAACAAGCCTCCTGCAAGCCCCTTCTGGGGACTGAGCCTGAAACCCACGCATGCACCCCGACCAGGAATTGAACTGGTGAGCCTCAACCACTGAGCCACACCAGCTGGGCAGGACTCCATTTAAAAGATCATTCCCTCCAGGGAAGACTTCTCCCCAAAAAATCTCCATGCCATTTGTTTCTTCAGCAACCTGGATGCCATCACACTCAATTTTATTTCTTCCACACCAGGCTTTTGCTAGGCTGTAAATTCCATTAGGACAAGTATGTCTCTCTTTAACCCAGGGCCTTACCCAAAGCGGTCCTTAGTGTTTATTGACTGGTGCTAACTGTGGAGACTGGGCATGTGCCCAAAGAGGTCACCACCACGGAGCTGCCCAGGCCAAGTGCTGAATGAATGGTACCATCCAGTTGTAAAGGAATTTGGTCTGAGGATGGCCACAGGTGGGTAAGTGATGAAGGATTCAGGCAAATGGAGGAGACAGGAAGGCTTCCTGGGTAGGTGTAAATTCCTCAGGGCAGGATATACTAGGCGTTTTGAGAGAAGCAGCCACATCATGGGAGTGGATTCTCGCTGCAGAGGTCCCTGAAGGCCTGGCCTCACTCCTTGACTCTGCACCCAAGTTCAACCACCTCTGAGAGTCTCCACCAGCTGATTTCATAGCAAGTCCAACATATCCCAGAATGAACTTTGTCATTCTTCCGTACCCTCACGTCTCCTCCTCAGAGTTATCCCATCTTGGTGGAAGGTGTTTTCAGGGTCTCTCCCCTTTATTCCAACACCTCAATTGATAATAAAAACCTACTGCTTCTAAGGTTGTATCTAGACTCCACATTCCTGAGTGATGGACTTGGAATACAAGTCTGTTCAAAGGATTCCCCTTGAAGACGCCTCATGGCATATAGCGTTCAAGCCCACAGACTCCTCAGCACACCCGTAGTCCTGTGTGATCTGACTTCCTCACCCCCTGCTGCTTCCCCACCAATTCCTATGTTCCAGTTTGTCTCCAGATTGAGCCATACTTCTGAAGCGTGGCTTACCTTGACTTGGTTCATTTCCTACTACGAGCAGCCTTTCCCCACCCACCATTTCCCTCACATCACTTGAATCCTCATTCTTGTCACCTGTTTCCTATGTATATCCCTCTCGTTTTTTATCACGTGGTTTAGTGATTATTTCCCTACAAGACCGTCTACACTACAAATTTTGACTTGGGGGAATATAATTGTTATATTTCATGTTTGCATCCCAGCACGGATAAGGATTCTTACAGAGCGCCATAAGAATAACAGTTAAGGCTTACCAGGCACTTATACTGAGCTAACTTGTCACTGCACTGGTGTGTCAACCCTCACAACTTAAATCCAGTGACAATAGAGGAAACTGAGGCAACAGAGTCCATTTGCCTAAGCTCATTTGTCAAACCCACAGGTTGAAATTCAGATCTGATTTCTAAAAAAAAAACACACAAAAAACTCAGATCTGATTTCTGGTCTTAATCACTACAGTCTTCTCTAATAAATGTTTGCTAAAAACTAAAGAGCCAATGATGGTCCCCAAGTCCATGATTTAAGTCTTTCCTCTTTTAATCTCATCTTCGGAGGGGAGAGGGCTGTCAAACCCCGTTCCAGGACTGCAGACAAGGAGAGTAACCGAGAAGGGAGCGCCCGTCTAAACGGCCACTGCGGCCGGAGGCTGGGAAGGCCAGAAGGTAGAGGGGGTTGTGGGAGCGGGCGGATGCGGGCGGATGCGGGCACACCCGGAGACCAGCGCTGGATCGGGGGAGGGTCTGGCTGGTGCCAGGCAGTCTACGCGGTGGGGGTGGGGTCCAGCGTGGGCTCCGGAAGCAGGAAAAGCGAGCAGGTGTGGGATCTATATTAGGATGAGGGCGGGGAGGACGCTCTGCCCAGAGCCGCGGAGACCGGCCTCCGCCCTCTCCGGAGGACCCCCCTCTCAGGTGTTTTGGGGTTCGCAGGCCTGGAGGAAGCTGAGACATACATCCAGAAACAGGGGGGACGGAGGTTCAGACGAGCCCCTTCAGCGCCACGGCTTCGTTGGCCCCGAGGTGCTAACCGCGCCCCGCTTTCACTCCGGCCTCTCCGCAGAAGTGGCTGCACGCTTAAGCGTCGACGCCGGGTTTGGGGGCGCGAGCCAGGAGCCCCGAGGGCAGGGCGGGGGAGCCGGGCCGGAAGGCGTCCCGGGCCGGGCCGGGAGCCGGCGCTCTCTTTAGACGCCACCCGCTGCCCCCGCCCCGGAGCCGCCGGGACGGCACCAAGTTCCGCCCCCGACGCACCGCGCACCTCACCTTGAACGCCGCCCCACTCACCGCCAACCTATTGGGCCGGCCCGGCCGAGGCAAGGCGGCGATTGGCCGAGCCGACTCCGGGAGGCCCCGCCCCCGGACCCGCCCCCGCGCCCGTCCGCCGGTACTTTGGCCGGCGGCGTGGCGCCCCTCCTCCCCGCCCGTCCCCGCCCCCCGGAGCAAATGCTGCCGAGCGGCGGCCGCGGGGCAGATGCACGCGCTCGGGGCCTCTTAGCAGGCGCGAGCCATCGCTGGGCGCGCGAAAGCGAAAGGAGGAAGAGGAAGGGAGGGCGGGGGCGGGGTGTTGAGGAGGGGCGGGAGGAGGAAGAGGAGGAGGTTGGAGCGCGCTCGCGCCTGGCCTCGGGCCCGCGCGGAGGGAGGGAGGGAGGGGGAGAGGGGCGCGCGCGCGCACGCTCGCGCTCTCGCCCGCTCCATCCATCCATCCTCCGGCCGCGGCACGCGCGCGCGCTCCGGGCCCGCGCCGCACCCCCCGCCCGGGAGAGGCGGGCTGGAGTGGGGGGCGGGGGGAGGGCCGCGCGGACGGCGCGCGGAGTGCGCGCGGGCGGGGTGAGGTGAGGAGGAGGAGGAGGAGGAGGCGGCGACGGGACGAGAAGGGAGGGGAAGGGGCCATGGCCGCCCGGTGAGGCGGCGAGGCGGGGGGGCGGCCCGACCCTCCGGCCCCGGGCCCTGGGCCCCGGGGAGAGGCGAGGACGGACCGACGGACATGGGGCTCCGGAGCAGCCGCCGCCGCCGCCGTCGCCGGAGGACGCGGCCCTGAGAGGCCGCCGGGCCCCGGCGCGGCCCCCCGGGCGGGGTAAGTACGGGACGGAGACGGACGGGGGAGGGGCCTGCGGGAGGCGGGGGGCGGGGTCCGAGGCGGGGCTTGGGCCCCCTCCCCCCCAGGTCTGGGTCAGCGCCCCTTCCCCTCCCCCCGGGCCGACGCGGAAACGCCCGGCTTCCCCCGGCGTCCCGGCCCGGCCGGGGGCCCCTGCTCTCCCCCTGGCTGGGTCCCCCTTGGGCGGGGCGGGGCAGGGCCGGCCGGGGAGGGGGCGCGGGGCCTTTGTTAGGAAGCCAGGCCCCAGCCCCCGGGACAATAGAGACACCCTCCCGGAGTCCTCTCCCCGGCCGGCCGGGGCTGCCGGCGGCGGGGAGAGGAGAGGGGCCGGGAGGCGCCCCGCTCGGTCCGCTCTCCGAGGGTCGGGCTGTCCCGGGCCGGCGCCGGCCCTCCGGCGGCGCGGCTCTCCTCCCCCAGCCGGTATGATGCAGCAGCAGTGCCGCAGGGACGGGGGACGAGCCGAGGCCCGGCCCCCGACCCTCCCAAGTGCCCCTGGCTCATTTGTCAGTCCCCACCCCGCTCCAGGCCGGCTGCTCCTTCCACTCGCACCCACCGTTCCGAGGGGCCCCGCACTGTGGGCACTGTTTCTGAATCCTTTGGTGGGAATTCCTGGACTTTGGGGCTGTTGGAGAGACTTCCGGGCAGATCCTGAGGGCGGGAGGGTGGTTATCTAAAAGAAGAACAGGTAAGGGGAGTGCCCACTCCTGGCATGTCATCCCACCGGGCTCTGCCCCCTCTTGCTCATGGTGACGAGAAATGCCCCTTTTAGCTCCAGGGTTCGGTGGACTTTGCTTCCCTCCTACAGTGGAAGGCTTATTTCAAGGGAAGTCATTGGGGTGAAGGTTGTAGGGTCTTAGGGCCATTCCTACTTCTGGTAGCAGTACCCCCCCAAGTGGACATCCTGGCTGAAAGCAGAGGTGACTCTTAAGGAGAGCCTGGGGAGGGGGGAGTGTATTTAGGAGTCTGTGCAGTTCTTTGCCACACCCTATGGGGCCTTAGAGTTCCTTCTCCTCCCCCTGCTGCATTGCACCATGGGTATCAAAGAGGGTTTTGAGTTTTGGGGACCTGGGGTGAGCTGCTGCCTCCTATAGACCCAGACTCTGATTAGCAGCAGAGCCAGGGCCTGAGTTAAGGCCTGGGAAGGACTAGGCCGTATTTGGGTTTCAGGCCTTGAAGGACCATCCAGACTTAGCCTAGGCCTTAGGGAGGGTATATCCTGATGCCAGGATTAAGCTCTGGGCATCGAGGTATGGAGGGGAGGTGGCTGTGTTCAGAGGTGCCTTGGACTCATACCAACACCCCCACTCCCATGTGTGCAGCCGTGTTGCCGCCCGCTGTGCTATGAGCAGTCAGAGCGCCGTCTCCACAAGAGTTTACAAATGAAAATGGAGGAAATGTCTTTGTCTGGCCTGGATAACAGCAAACTAGAGGTGAGGGCTCCCCCACGTGTGCCTCTGGTTCTTTCTCTCGATGTCTCTACGTCGTTATGTCTGACATCCAAACCAAAGAGGAATTTGGGTAGCCAGCCTTGTTCCTTAAATGGAATAGGGCCAGCTGAAAAGGCCCAAGGATCCAGAAGAAAGAAGGCAAAGTCAAGAAGGGAGAAATGGCAAAGAAAGCATTATTTTTGGCCAGGCCCAACTGGCAGGAGATTTGGTTGGTGAGAGTTGCTTTCAGTCCACGGGGCCGTGACTCCCGTGATTGTGGATGTTCTCCCCTACACCCAGGCCATCGCTCAGGAGATATACGCTGACCTGGTCGAGGATTCTTGTTTGGGATTCTGCTTTGAGGTACACCGGGCTGTCAAGTGTGGCTACTTCTTCCTGGACGACACGGATCCTGATAGCATGAAGGATTTTGGTGAGCTTCGGGGTTGAAGAGAGCGGTCCTGGTAGTGCTCGGAGGTTCCTCTGGAGATCATGTCACACGTAGAGCCTGGAGCTCCTGTGAGCTCAGGCAGGGAGTCGGAAGAGGCCACGGGTGGGAATGCCCACCCTGATCGCCACGCCTCTCCTGTCCCCAGAGATCGTGGACCAGCCGGGGTTGGACATCTTTGGACAGGTTTTCAACCAGTGGAAGAGCAAGGAGTGTGTTTGCCCCAATTGCAGCCGCAGCATCGCCGCTTCCCGCTTTGCTCCCCATCTGGAGAAGTGCCTAGGAATGGGTCGGAACAGCAGCCGAATCGCCAACCGCCGGTGAGGGCTTCTCCTCCGGGTAAAACCGGAGCTGCTCATCATTTGCAGCTTATCACATGGTGTAGTCTCTTGGGGGCCTTTGTAGGGTACAGAGGGTGGGTGGGTCATGCTTGGCCCCAGATGTTCCGCTATAGGGGGGTAAGAGAGAGGTGGCAGCCTTGGCCTTTCTCTGTCTGCCTTTGTCAGGATTGCCAATAGCAACAGCATGAACAAGTCTGAGAGTGACCAAGAGGATAACGATGACATCAATGACAACGACTGGTCCTATGGCTCAGAGAAAAAAGGTGTTTGGGGATCTGGGGAAACTTGGAGGGCATTGGGGGTAAGGTGGGCCAGGGGGAATTGGGTAACAAAACTACATTTTGTTATCATGAATGAGGGCAGAGAATGTAGTTTTGTACTTTTCTTTCGGTGCCCTTAGATTGGGAACTTAAAGTGACCCTGCCCTTTATCCTTTTGTCCTACACAGCCAAGAAGAGAAAATCAGACAAGGTGAGAGCCGGGGCAAGCATGAGGGAAATTTGGGCAAAGGACAGATACCCTCCCCTTTGGGCAGGGAGCCCTCGGGTATCTTGACTCGAGTCTGAGGTCATTGGGTACCTCTGGGTTCTGGGATGAGGGTGTCTGGTGGGCAGGAGGGCACAGAGGCTTTGGGAGGATGGGGGTGGGAGTGGGTAGAAAGAGTAGAAATTTGAGGATGTTTCTTTGTCAAATCTTTTTTCCTTCCCTGGGTTCTCGGCTCCCCCTTATCGTTACCCTTTCCCCAAAGCTATGGTATCTCCCATTCCAGAACCCCAATTCCCCTCGAAGATCCAAGTCTTTAAAACACAAAAATGGTAAGTGGGGCTGTAGTAATTGTAGTGATTCTAGCTGTGTTTTCTGGGATTCATTGCTGGAGGGTGGGAGGTGGGAGGCTTGGGGGACGGGTGTCGAGGGAGGGCCTGTGATCCTTCTGTCACCCCCACTTCCTCTCTGGTTATTTTCAGGGTTCTCTGTCTGTACCTCTGCATCAAACACCCTTCCCCTTCTTTTTTCTTCTTCAGGGGAACTTAGCAATTCGGATCCTTTTAAGGTGAGTGAGTAGGGGCTGCCCCTCTTAGGTTCCCTCTCATTTTCCTTGTTGTGGGTTGGGTGGGATTTAGACAAGTGGGGATCAGAATGCTGACAGCCAGAAGCACTCAATGGGGTATTTAGATCTTGCATATTTATGTTCTTTCTGGGCCCCGGCCCCTCACCATGTGCAGGTGGGATGGAAGGAATCATTGAAAAGCTGCTGGGAAGTCTTAAGCCCTCCTTACTTAGAAAAGGTTGAGAGGGACTGGACTGCACCCCATCCCCACTCTCTTTTCTTCGGCTGCTGCTTCTCTAACCTGTACCTCTGGTTCTCCCCAGTATAACAGCTCAACTGGGATCAGCTATGAGACCTTGGGACCGGAGGAGCTGCGTAGCCTGCTCACCACGGTGAGGAACCAGGGAAGGGGAGGCCGTTGGGAGTGGGCTGAGCCACAGGCAGTGGTCAAGGCCCTGGAGAAAGCTGGCGACATAGCAATCAGGGCCATGTAGTTCTTTCTCTGGAATTGGGTTTCCTGGCCAATGGTGGTCGGGACCGTCTGCTCCGGACACCTTGTGCCATTTCTGCATGTGCTGGCTAGCATTCCCACCGAAGAAAACATCTAGTGTCTAGAGTAGGTTTTCCTCCATCCCTCCTTTCAGCTTATGTTCCTCTTCCAGCAATGTGGGGTGATCTCTGAACACACCAAGAAGATGTGCACAAGGTGAGCTCCGAGCCTAGAAAGGGGCCAGGGGCCCTCCTGCACTCACCCTGGGCATGGGTTGGGAGTACCCTTCTCCTCCCCTCCTCTAATGAGCAGGCCTTAGGCCACAATCTGGGGGCTCTCTGTTCATCCCTCCCCTATTGTCCATCCCTCCCACCTCTGCTGCGGGGAGGGGCCTCACTTAGACCCTTCCTGCCTTGTCAGGGTCTGATCATTCTCTCCCCACCAGGTCCCTGCGCTGCCCCCAGCACACCGATGAGCAGCGGCGAGCTGTGCGGATTTACTTCCTTGGACCCTCCGCGTAAGTGACCCTCCGAGAGGGGTTGTGGGTTTTGAAAGGTTAGGATGATAATTGTTGTCTGTAAAGTTCTTCTCTGGCCCATCCCCTTTCCAGTGTCCTTCCAGAGGTCGAGAGTTCTCTGGATAATGACAGCTTTGACATGACTGACAGCCAGGCCCTGATCAGCCGGCTGCAGTGGGATGGCTCCTCGGATCTCTCACCCTCTGATTCAGGCTCCTCCAAGACGAGTGAGAATCAGGGATGGGGTCTAGGTAGGTGATCCCGCTGGGTCCAAACAAAGGAGTGGGGCATCTTGTGTCCTGCCACAACCGTGCCCTCATTCCTTGTGCCTCTTTCTCTTCAGGTACCAACAGCTCTGAGTCACGGAAAACCAAGAAAAAGAAATCCCACCTGAGCCTGGTAGGGACTGCCTCCGGCCTGGGCTCTAACAAGAAGAAAAAGCCAAAGCCACCGGCACCCCCAACGCCCAGCATCTACGATGACATCAACTGACTTGGGTGCAAGGGATAGCCTTTGGCTAAGCAGAGCCCTCTCTCCCGACCCCCACCCAGGTGGCATAGCCTGGCACATGGACGGCTGATGGGGGTCTGGGCTTGGGAAGCTTGGTGGGCCAGGCAGGCAGAGGATCCAGTTATGCGCCCCTGGGGGGTGTCGGGATCCTCTGCGAGGAGTACGGCCCCTCGGCATGCAGGACTCGGACCTGGACATACTATGCCTTGGACATAAGTTTGGTGGGGCGGCGGTTTTCATATTTATTCTGTGAGTTACTGGATGTCCAGCTAGGCCAGGGGCCTGACCTGGGCACTCTGCCAGGGCACTGCCTGCCCCCCAACCCAGGAACTGGACTAAGCCCTGCCGAGGAGCATTGTGGCTTCCTGGGAGGCTGTGGGTTAGAAGCTGAGCCTGGAGGGGGCCGCCCCCAGCTGCCCTCAGCAATGTGAATGGGTCCGGTGCTTGGAGCTGAGGGGCAGGGCTGGGCATGTCCTGTCTGTGTGCAGAATCCTACCAAATGCCCCAAATCCCAGGGGTAGGCAGGCACAGTGAGCTGTCTGCTGAGGTAGGCATCCAGAACTGCCGCTGCCTTCCCTGCCCCTCGCAGGGGCAGCCCTTTCCCCTCAGTCCCCGTGGGCCTCCTCAGCAGCAGGAGCTGTCCTTTTGTTGTTGGGTGCCAGGAAAGGGCCTCCAGCCTCTACAGCTTCAAAGACTGGGCAAGGGGAGGGAGGGGGAGGGAGTTGTGTATCAAAATGACTCCCCCTGCCTTCTCTCCCTGATCCAGGGCTGGTGAGGAGTGGGGCCCCAAGGTGAGAGGGAACGGTGCTGCTTTATTTGAAATGTTTTCTTACCTCATTCCCTGCCCCAGGAAGGGGTCAGCCTCACCCTCCTGGGGTGGCCCCATGTTCCTCCTGCCTACCCTGCCCCATTGGCCTTCCAGGGCAGCCCATGTTCCCAACTGCTGCTTGCTACCCCCCCTTTCACCTTGACCAGCTTCAGTTCCTCTCTCCATGCTCCTGCCTCCAAAGCCTGCCCTGTCTCCCCTTCCTTAGCCGCTTTTAAGTTATTTATTCTGTACTTGTGGTTTGGGGCTCTGAGGAAAATCCTGATCTTTACCTCTTCCCCTTTGCTAGGAGTGGGGTGGGAAGAGGGTAATCTGTGCTCTGGATTATCAGTAGAGGGGAAGGGATATCATGTCTAGGCATTGCCCTTCTGTGGACTGTCATGCCAGTGTGCCCACCTGCCTGGTCTACATCCTAAAGAGATGTGCAATCCCACCTCCATGCAGGCACCTTCACTCCCGGGAGCCGAGTTGGAGGAATGAGACTGGGCTGGGAGCAGAGCTGACTGACACGGGTGGAGTTGACCCTAAGCCAAGTTCTCTGGCATTTGCTGGATGTGTCCCCTGCCCTCCTCCCAGGAGGAGTTATCCCACATTGGGTAGCTCGTACCCAGGACTTGTTGGACTGATTTGGGTTAGGGATCCTAGAGGGTTAAGGGAGCAACATAGATGGGGCTGCAGTACCCCGTCTGGAACCCCAACCTCCCCCTGGGATGGTTCTACTTGTGGCAGATGCCTGGTTGCAAATTTGTTTTTAACTCAAGAATTGTGATTATTTTTCAAGAAGCCAAACAAATTTTGTCAGGAGTTAGAATAAATTCTGGGGCCTGGGCTCCTCTGTTCTTGACACCCTACCCCCATCCCCCATTTCCCGCCCCCAGTCTTCTCCCTTGAAGGGGAAGCCAGAGGTAAAGGAGGATTTCAGCCAGCCTCCAGCCTGCTTCCAAATGACGTTCTGGAAGTAGGTTGAAGGTGAAGGGAGGAAGGCCAGGGGCCATTCTCCCTTCGGAGAGGCAGCTGCAGTTCAGGCCCTAATATACCCTTTCCCCTCTGGCCTCTCCCATTCTCCCCTTCTGGTTGGAGGAGAGAGAAGTGGGAAGTAGTTTGGGAACGGGTTTGTCCACATCCACTTCCCTTTTGTTCCTCAGGCCACCCTCAGGGCAGAGCCCTCTGCCCAAGCTGGGTAAGAGATGGGCTTGGTCCGACGGGGACCCCGAGAGAACAAATCCCGATCCCATTCCTTCCCAGGAGAGTATGCCCCCCTACCATGTAGTTGAACAGGGGCTACGAGCTCCCCAGTCCCCTCCCTCTAACAGCAGGCTGTGTGGGTTTCAATTCCCATCCTTCCCACCCTGGCTAGGTGTCGTCCACCCTGTATCCTATCATGTGTCTGAGTGTGTGTGGGGGGTTCTGTACTAATTTCCATGGCCGGTGGCTTTTCCTTCCATGCATCACTCCCCCCCGCATGCCCAGGGGCCACCCGCCTGGCATTACCGCATGCTGGGGTCATTGGGGGAGGGGGGAGGGGCTCACGCTGTCCTGTGGTCTTGAGATTTTTATTTTTGCATATGTAATCCATCTTGTACAGGTAGCTAACTTTGTAAACGCTGTGTATTTCCCCTGCCCCTCATGGCTGCTGGTGTAAATAAACTGCATCTCCCGTTGGTAGCTGGGCCTACCCACCCTCATTACCATGTTGCTGGAGGCAGAGCAAAGCCATTCTCTGAATGTCACAGAAGGAAGCTCCATAGCCACAAAATGGAACTTTATTCAGTCACAGACACTGGCCCTCCATCCAACAGCCCCTGAGACAAGGGCCTGGGGCACAGTGCTCCATACCCAGAGCTCCTTGGAGCTGGGCAGTGCTGGTCACTGGCTGAGAGCCAGAGCCGTTTCTTGCTTACAGCCTTAGGCCTAGGGTAGCAGCAGCTGTGGCCTGGCCTCCCCCAATGGTGGGGGCTTGGCTTTGTGCCCCAATCCCCTTCCTGACAGAGCTCTATAAAGGACTAAAAAAAAAAAAAAGAATGCAAGCAAAGTGCTTTGAAAAAAAGAACACTGGAAACTGTCCAGAACATGGAGAACACTCTATTCCTGCTACAGAGGTAGAGGGAGAAGGGAGAGGGCAGCTCGGTGCCTATAGGACAAGCTGACAACCTTCATTCCTGCCTGTGTGATTTCAGTCAAAAGATGGCTATTCCACTAAGGAACTGAAAGATACTCCAGGCTCCCTACAGGATTATGCTGGGGCCATGCTACACTGCCCCGGCAGGCCGCCTGAACGCTGAGGAGCAAACATGCAGGACAGTGGGAAGAGCTAGGGTCACAGGAGAAAATCCTCAGAGCCCAGGCTCCCCACTGAGCTGGGCCACCAGGGTGGCTCTGAACTCAGGACCCTAAAAAGAAGGAAGATGACATCCTCGTTTCTACCTGAGTTGTGCTTGCACAGAGGGGATGTCTATACCCTTGTGGACATGAAGGGGAGGCCCCATACCAGCCTCCTCTGTCCTATGGAAGAGAACCCACCATATCCTTTCCCTCCCTCCCTCCCAGGCCATTGGCCCAGCTATGGCCAGGAAAGGGGGAGGCTATGAGGAGGAAGACCATGCCTTTCATTTTCCTCCCTATGTCCTTATCGTCCATACATCCCAAATACTAGGAAGCTGAAGAAGACAGTGACCCCAACCAGGGAGACAGTGGCAGGTGCTGTGAAGAACTGGCGGTAATTGATACGGAAGTACCAGACCACACCCAACAGCACCACAAACACGGGCACCATGAGGCTGCCCACACTGATGCTGAGGCTGGGGGGCTCAGTGACTGAGGAGGCCAGGGAGGCTGAGGGGCCTGGAACAGCTGACCCTGGAGGTGAGTGGTGGCAGTGAATCACACAGTTGTCGGTAATGTTCAGGGAGCGCAGTGTGCGGCCTGGGTCCTGCAGGAGGCGGCCCTGGTAGATCAGTTTCATCTGGCTCTCTTGTCCAGGGAAGTATTTACTGTTAAGGTGAAAGAGAAGGAGAGAAGCAAGAATGAGAAGACAAACAGGTCTGAACCAACAAAGCAGGGCAAATGGGGGGAAATTGGGGACATGGCTTATTAAGTCTCCCACTTTCAGCTCACTCACCTCTTTAGTGTGCCCACAGTATCTTCTGGCCTGGCCACAGCCAGCTCCTCCGTGTCATTGAGGAATTTGAGCCGCACATTGATGAGGCCAGGGCTGGGAGGCAGGCAGGTGCTATCCTCAGATCTCGGGGGGGCTTCTGGGCCGCTGCTCTCTGGGTCCACTTGTCTTTTGGGCAGGCCTCGGATGTCAAGGAGATGCTCAAGGCTGGGCTCAATGCCACCTCCAGCTCCAGAATCCCCTGCAGAGTCTCTGCCACCTTCTCCAGCCTCTTCAGCCTTCTCATCATTACCATCTGATGGATGGGGGAGTTCATTTGGCTCTGGGGTGCCTTGGGCCGCCACCAGATGATGGTCCACGTGCCCCAGGTGGAGGACGGATGTGTCGCCAGCTGACACAATAGTGTTTAAGAGCTGATTGCTACTGCTGTCTGCTACGTAGGTAGAAAGCCAAGCTAGGACCAAGGCTAGAATCAGCACCACCACACCTGCCACCACAGTCACCTCATTACCCACACCTTCAATAAGGGTGACATCAGAGAGTCCCATGGCCTGGCTGCTGACAGGGTCCACACTGCAGGAACAAAGAGGGATAACATCAGCAGGGCCTATGGGGTTGCAGCCAGGTTTCTTTTCATTTTTTTAAATCCTCATCCAAGGATATTTTTCCACTGATTTTAAAAAATATATATATTTTGTTGATTTTCCACAGAGAGGAAGAGAGAGGGAGAGATAGAAACATCAATGAGAGAAACATCGACCAGCTGCCTCCTGCACAACCCCTACCAGGGACGTGCCCGCAACCAAGGTACATGCCCTTGACCGGAATTGAACCTGGGACCTTTCAGTCCGCAGGCTATCGCTCTATCCACTGGGCCAAACCGGTATCGGCTCCACTAATTTTTAGAGCGAGTTGATGAAAGGGAAAGAAACCGATTCGAGAGAAACATGAATTGGAAACCTCCTGCATGTGCCCGAATCAGGCCCCAGGCCAGGGAGGAGCCTACAACCAACGTACGAGCCCTTGACTGGAATCGAACTCAGGACCCTTTGGTCCGCAGGCTCACACTCCATCCACTGAGCCAAACTGGCTAGTGGGTAATCTGGTTTCTAGTTTAGCTTCAAAATGGAGTTCATTGTCCTGCAGAAGGGGAAAACCTTCCTAACTCTGAACGCCCAACCTAAAGCTAAGGACTTACCCTTTATCTCCATTGTGAAACTCGAATTCCATACCCTTCCTCTCTCACAATCCAACCACCCAATGAACATGGATCATAAGGAAAAGCTTACAGCTGTGTTGCTGTTGCAATTGCTTGTTGCTTTTTTGGCAGCTGGGGAAAACACTTGCTTCTTTGAGCCCTGAGTTTCTCTAAGACGTCTATCATTTAGTCAAGCAACTGTGCCTCTTTGAAGAGCCTCCAAGGTGACCCCAGAGAGATCAAATAGCCGGTATTTTATTTTGGAGCCCCTTTGGAGGCATACTGCAACCACTCTTGCCAGACTGTCTCATTTAATATCCCATCTCAAAAAAAAGGAAGGAAAAGAACCTATCTCACGGTCTAGACATGAAGAGTCAAAGAAAATCAATTTATCATCAAAAGCAGATTCAGCCCAACCAATATGGCTCAGTGGCTGAGTGTCAACCCAGGAATCAGGTGGTCGGGGTCAGGACACATGTCCAGGTTTTGGGCTTGATACCCAGTAAGAGTATGTAGGAGGCAGCAGATCGATGATTCTCTCGTCATTGATGTTTCTCTCTCTCTCTCTCTCTCTCCCTCCCTTTCTCTTTCTCTCTCTCTCTCTCCCTCTCTCTCTCTCTCTCTCACTCTCACTCTCTCTCCCCTCTCTCCCCCCCCCTCTCTCTCTCTCCTCTCTCTCTCTCTCTCTTTCTCTCCCTTCCTCCATAGATCTCCCGAAGGGACAAGAAAGTCAGAAAACCCTGCTGGCCCTATAAAGGTTATCAGCAAACACTATACAGCAGGCATTGTGTCTGCGTCTATGAAGCTTTTCTGGCAAGCTCTGTGGAGCAAAGTATAATAGGACAGACATCAGACATACCACCCTATTGGATCACTATAGGCTCACAACTTAAAAAACCACTACCAGAGTAGAACAGATTTGGAAAACTCCCAAAATAGCTGTCACAATCCATACCTCCATCTCTCTTCATATTGTCTGGTTCTCCCTCAGCAGTTTCTTAGAAAGGCAAGGATCACGACTTGCTCCTTGGAGGACCTACTCTTTCCCTTGGAGAATCTGCTGCTTTCACCGTTGTCCCTGGGCAAATCCAGCCTAATGGCTATCCTTACCAGACTCTTCTCACAGCAACTATAAAACTCATATGCATCTATCTGTCCATCTCTCTCGGCTAGACTCCTGCACGACAGGATCACATGTATTTATCTATGTGCTGTAGTGCCCAGCATGTCATAGGAGTTGCTCAAAAAATATGTGTGGAATGTATCAACATCTGCCCAGTTACCACATTCTTATTTATATATAAGCTCTGGAGTCTGGGAAAAAGACCACTAATTTATAATCCTCGTCTTGCCCCCTACTAGCTATGTAATTTCAGACAATTTTCTCAGAACGTCAGCTTTCTCATAAGTAAAATGGGATTAAAAACAGTACCTACCTGCCCTGGCTGGGTGGCTCAGTTGGTTGGAGCGTTGTCCCATACACCAAAAAGTTGTGGGTTCGATTCCCGGTCAGGGCAGATAACTAGGTTGCAGGTTCGATCTCTGGTTGGGGCGCATAGGGGAGGCAACCCATCAATGTTCCTCTCGATGTTTCTTTCTCTTTCCCTTCCTCTCTCTCTAAAAATCAATAAAAATATGTCCTCAGGTGAGGGTTATTTTAAAAAACCTGATCCCATTATTGCCCTGCTAAAAACAGTACCTACCTCATAAAGTTGTTTTAAAGATGACGGGAAAATATCAAAGCAAAATACTTAGCAGAGTGCCTGGCGGATTGCAACTGTTCAATAAATAAATGGTAGTAATTATCACACGACTAACCCCTGATGGTGAGAAGATTAATGTCATTAACACCGATTTACAGAAAAGGAAACTGTGGCGAGGAGGCTAAAAAGGCACTGACACAGGAAACTTTCGTGGGCTGGGGGCCGGGCAAGACCCCAGGGCTTCTGCCTCAGAGCCTTCTCTCTCCTCAGCCTGTGAGCGACCCTGGCGGGGCGGAGAGGGGGCGTCCCTGCCTTTCCTGGAAGCGAAGGCTCCGCGTTTGGGCGGTCCTGTTCTCACAGGAGAGGGTTCCGTGGGCCGAAAGGTCTCCCGGCCCCAGCCGCCGAGCCCGAGCCCACGTCTCCCCGCCGGTGAGGGGTAAAGTCGGGTGAGTGGGTCACAAACCTTCCACACCCCTCAAACTCCGGGGCGGGGCCGGGGGGCTGGGGGCGGGGCTTGTGTACGCGGGGAGTCATGGGAAATTAAGAAGGGATCGGACCGGTACTATGCCCGGATAAGGAAAGAGGACCTCACCTGAAACGGCCAGACCAAGTATTTCGACTTCTCTAGGACGGCCGATGGACTCACCTTTCCGTAGGGGCCGGGAAAGGGACTGGCTACCCCCGATTCTGTCCAGGGTCCAGTCTCTTCCGGCTTCTCCCGGAAGCTGTTAGAACCAGAGACAGGAAGTCCCGCCTCCTCGCCTTGCACTGATGACGCAAACTCTACGTAAGGCGGGCTGGCATAAGCGTATTCTTTAAAAGGGACAGGTTTCTCAGCGGAAGGAGAGGCGGAGTCGTTAGCGGGATCTCGGCCCTCCCAGTGGGCGGGGCCCGAGGAGCCCTGAGCTGAGGGGTGGGGTCAGGAGGAAGTTGGGGGCGGTGCTTGTAGGGGGCGTGGTTCCGAGTCTGGAAGGTTGAGCTGGCTGGCACCGTTGGGCGGAACTTCCCTCTTCCCAATCTTGCTCTTCCGGCCCTGCTCCTAGGCTCCCTGTCTGATAGGATTTATTACTGTTCCGGGTTAGTTAGCGGGATCAGTAAGGTCTGGTCTCTCCGAGCTCCAAGAATTCAGGGCTAGTCGGGAGACAAACTGGGAGACTAGTTACTATCCGGAGCTCCGAGAAAGCGGCCTCAGGTAGCGTGGGACTTGGGTAAATTATGCAAGAAAGCATTTCAAAGAAGACACAGATTCAGGGGCGGTTTAGGACATAAATGCAGGAGCCAAGAAAAGGTTCAGCTTCCAAGAACTTATCCAGATTTTTGCAAATAAGTTTTTTTCTAAAGACGTGCTGGGTTGTTTTCTGGTAAACAATTTATTTATGTTATAAATAATGCAAACAGGGCAAACTCATAAGCGAAGAGCTCAGAGAATTTTCACCAACTGAACACCGGTGGAACTGGCATTTGGATCAAGAAATAAATAAAAACATAATTTTTAAAAATATCCCCGCCATTAAAAAAATTTCCCCCAACCTAGTGGAATATCATATTACTGTTTTTTTAAATAAATATATTTTATTGATATTTTACAGAGAGGAAGGGAGAGGGATAGTTAGAAACATCGATGAGAAAGAATCATCGATTAGCTGCCTCTTGCACATCCCCTACTGGGGATGTGGCTGCAACCAAGGTACATGCCCTTGACCGGAATCGAACCTGGGACCCTTCAGTCCACAGGCCGACGCTCTATCCACTGTTTCCGCTCTCCCTTCTTTTCTATAAAAAATCAATAAGATATATTTAATTTTAAAAATTAAAAATAAAACAGTAATATGGCCAAAACCGGTTTGGCTCAGTGGATAGAGCGTTGGCCTGTGGACTGAAAGGTCCTGGGTTTGATTCTGGTCAAGGGCATGTACCTTGGTTGTGGGCACATCCCCAGTAGGGGATGTGCAAGAGGTGACTGATCAATGACTCTCTCTCATCGATGTTTCTAACTATCACTCTCTCTTCCTCTCTGTAAAAAATCAACAAAATATAAATTTAAAAAAAATAAAAGGGAGAGGGATAGAAAGTTAGAAACATCGATGATGAGAGAGAAACATCCATCAGCTGCCTCCTGCACACCACCCACCGGAGATGTGCCCACAACCAAGGTACATGCCCTTGACTGGAATTGAACCTGGAACCCTTTATTCCGCAGGCTGACGCTCTAGCCACTGAGCCAAACCAGTTTTGGCCATATTACTGTTTTAATATACACTGTAGAGAAACCAAATCAATACTGATAATAAAACATGTTATTCTTTCTCTCACAGATCAAGAGAATAAAATCTTTTAGCTGCAGTACATTTTCCAATATTTTGCCTTTTAGTTGTTTGTATGACTTGGTGTTTTCATTAAGCTTTTTCTGTATCCATATCTATTAATCTTTTTTGTGCTTTTGCCCTACCCCCAAATAATATACATCTTCACAGGTATCTTTCGTTTTATTTAAACAGATATCTTGTAGTTGTAGCTGTGAGAGGATGGACAGTTCAGCATCCTCCCCTGAGGAGGCGGCCCCCAGCGTGGGCCCAGGACTAAAGAGGATTTCATCCTCTCCTCTTGGGCCTTGGTCTCTGTGAAATTAAAGTGAAAATGTCAAGAAAGGAAACAATGTTGCTCCACATAAAGAGGTAAACAGATCCACCCCCAGAGTGCAGGATGGATCTGCTCTGTGTTAGTCAAAGGGCATCTCTGCAGGTACAACTCCACATAGGAGAGGAGCCTGGGTGACAGCTGAGGAAGCCAGCTCCAGGACTCCTGACTTGTTTAGCACATGACTGCAAACGGGAATGGCCAGGGATCCCAGGGTCCCTCCTCAGTTCCCTCCCACAGTGGGTACTTTAGGCTCAGGGGCTGGGATGAGGTCTTGTTGCTATCACAAGAGTGACAGCTGCTCAGTGCAGAAAATTTGGGAACCATGGAAGATGACAAAGAGGGGGAAATAAACATGACGTGATAGGTATCTCTGTCTCATTTCAACTCAACCACATTCACACATTGGTACTGTGAACAAATCATTTATTTGCTTTCATAAAAACTAGCGAGGCTTGAAAAGCTTCCTCTTAAAGATGAATGGTCACAAACAAACAAAAAGAAGATGAATGGTGGTGCATTTGACTCTGGAACCAGAAGAGGAAATGAAGGGGGCAGGTGACAGCTGGTGGCTGGTCCTCTTGTCACAGACTCTCGGAGATCACAAGTGTGGTGACCACTGTTTCAGACACCATGCATCACTGAGGTGTGTGGCAGGGGAGCACAATGCAACCATAAATTGTTCCCAGGCATCATGTATCTATTCCTCCAACAACCATTTACCAAAATATCTGTTCAAGCCTAGTTGAGAAGACAGGCTCTTAAATAGGTATGATACCACCAGCCAGTGTGGTTCCGTGGTTGAGCATCCACCTATGAACCAGGAGGTCATGGTTTGATTCCCAGTCAGGGAATATGCCTGGGTCGGCTTGATCCCCATTGTGGGGCGTGCAGGAGGCAGTCGATCAATGATTCTTATCATTGCTGTTTCTCTCACTCTCTTCCTTTCTGAAATCAATAAAATGTTTTAAATAGATATCATACCAAGGAAGGCTACCTGCTAGGTTGATCAAATTGAGCTGTCTTGAGGATATCAGCTTCAATCAGGGAAAGAAAAAAAAACGTGGGGAGGGTATGTCAAGGAGGGGGAACACCTGAGAACAAAGGGTTTCAAGAGCATGGGTTTTAAGACCAGGCAGTGAGATTTTCCCTTCAAATGACAATGACAAGTTGGGCAGAGGCAGTACAGCTAGAGGCAGAGCCTGTCATTCTTTACAGAATTAAGACATATGGGCAGCAGAAGATGAAGGGTTACAGCAATGATAATCACCTCCTGGCATCATCCACTTAGGCAAAGGTGAGATGGGTGAGGTCTGAGTCTGCAGACATTTCCATCAGAGATGAGCTGAAGCTCAGGTAAGGCTGGCCAGCAGTTGTCTCAAGCAGTCAGTGGGGAGACAGGGAGTATAAACTGAGGCCCAGGGTCTGGCTGTCCAGGGTGGAGTGGGAGTAAGGTGGATGGAGAAAGCAGGACACGCTGTGGGAGCAGCCCGGCAGGGTGCTCACTGGATGCGCCCCTCCACAGGCAGCAGCAGGTAGTCCCGGAGTTGCTGGGGCAGCGGGAGGCGGTCGGCAGCCTGGCGGCAGCGGTTACCCAACTGGACACGCACAGCCAGCCGGGCCAGGTGCTGCAGCCGCCGGGGCTGGTTCACCATCGCCAGGGCCGAGCTGTAGAAGGCTTCATGCTCCTAGGCCAAGAGTGGCACAGGGTCAGATGGCCCAGGACCCTTAATTCTGCCCTTCCAACGGGGGCTACCTAGTGGTAGGGCTCCAGGATGTTGCAACATGTAAAATTTGATGCATCCTGACAGACTCAGGTTCAGAGCCAGAGAGGCCCAGCAGGGATCATGGGAGTTGGGACCACACTGAAGAGCCCTGTCTTCACCATCTCTGCACCCATCCCCACTCCTAAGGTGCCGGCACAGTGCACACGGAGTCAGAGATGCCTAAGAAATGCCAGGCCGGCGTGGCTCAGTGGATAGAGCGTCAGCCTGCGGACTGAAGGATATCACGTTTGATTCCGGTCAAGGGCACATGCAAGCTTGATCCCCAGTGTGAGGTCTGTGGGAGGCAGCCGATGAATAATTTTCTCTCATCATTGACGTTTCTCTCTCTCTCTCTCTCTCTCTCTCTCTCTCTCTCTCTCTCTCCCTTCTTCTCTGAAATCAATAAAAATATTTTCTAGTAAAAGAAAAAGAAATGTCTGCGCAGATGCAGGTAAGAGAGCCGGGAGAGGGTGTGGAATTAGAGGTGGTTCTGAGCTGCCAGGGGGTAGAGGGAACCTAGAATTCAGGGGTTTCCCTCTGCCTGTCCTCCTCCAGCCCAATCTGGAGGGATACGCCTGGGGCCCAACCTTCCTTTCCATCTCGCCCAGAGCCCGGGCTGGACCTGTGCCCCTGGGCGAACATACCTGCCACAGCTCCGGGGGGACTGCCTCCACCCAGGTGTCGCAGGATGGAACACAGGGGTAGGCATTAAGTAGGACTTCCAGGGCCCGAGGTAGTTTGGCACAGAGTTTCAGCATCTAGGAATCCAAAGAGGGTCTCAGGGGTGCCGTGCCTCTCCCCAACCAGGGGCAGGACCAAACCCAGAGACCATGGTCTGAGCCTCTCCTCCTTCCCATGCTCAGTTCACCACGACCTCCTGGCCCAGCTAGCTTCCTTGGGACCCTTTTCTCCTTTGCATCTCTCCCCCATAGCCTCCAGCGGTCTTTCCCAAGATGGGGACAGACCTCTGGCCACAAAAGGTGGACTTACAGGGCCAGGCTTTTGGCCCCGGCTCTCCCCTGCGGGGGGGGCAATCCCACAGGCACAATCCCCCCACCCACCTGGGCCCCCCTTCCACAGGCTCCCCCTACGCACCTCAGGGTGCACTGGCTGGGCCCCATAGTCCAGCAGCGCACGGAAGAGGACCTCGGGCTCCCCGCCGGGGGCGTCCTGGGCGGCCTGCAGCGCGCAGTCCATGGGCGTGCGGCCCGCCGCGTTGGAGACCCCGGCGCAGGCCCCGTGGCGCAGCAGCAGCTCGGCCAGGGCGCCGCGGCCGTTGGCACAGGCGTTGTGCAGGGGCGTGTGGCGCTTGCGGCCGGCCGCCCGGGCATCGGCCCCGGCCTCCAGCAGCTGGCGCGCCACCGCCTGGTGCTCCCGGCTCTCGCTGGGGCCCTCGGCGCCGGCGCAGGCCGCGTTGAGCGCCGTCTCGCCCTGGCTGGTGCGCAGCCCCACGCGGGCCCCGTGCGCCAGGTACAGGGCCACGTGGCCCCGCAGGCCGCGCGCCGCCGCCACGTGCAGGGCTGTCACCTCGCTGTCCCTCGCCGCCGCGTCCACAGCGGCTCCCGCCTCCAGCAGCAGCTTGGCGCACCTGGGGGCCGGGCGCAAGGGACCCAGGCAAGTCTTGAGGGACCAAGGCCTGGCCGGAGAGCACCTCTGTCTTCCTTCACCCTCTTTCTCCCCACCCCCTGCACCCGAGGGCCAGCCTGGTGTCCGCCATCAGGCTCACAGGAGACCCCCTGGGGAAGGCCCATGGAAGTCACCAGGAGCATCTTCACTTTCCACGTGAAAAACCAGCCCAGTTAGTTAGAGCCCTAACCGGTTTGGCTCAGTGGATAGAGCGTCGGCCTGCAGACTGAAGGGTCCCAGGTTTGATTCTGGTCACCGGCATGTACCTTGGTTTGGGGTACATCCCCAGTAGGGGGTGTGCAGGAGGCAGCTGATCTTGGACAAGTTACTAAACCTTTTTGATGTTTTCTCATCTGTAGAATGAGACCTGTCTCCAGGCTGTGAGCTTCACACACACACACACACACACACACCCTCCCCAAATCACGTCAAGCCCTGAGCACCTACTGTAAGGACTCCGGCGCTGTGCAGAGGTGCAGGGGGGCTGTGCCTTCCCCAGACAGCACGTTGGCTTTGGCGCCGAAGGCCAGCAGCAGCCGCACGCAGTCGGAGTGGGCCTGGGCACATGCCTCGTGCAGGGCAGCCCGGCCCCCAACCCGGGCATCCAGCTCGGCTCCCTGGCGGATGAGGTGGCGGGCACAGTCGGTGTAGCCTCGGGCCGCAGCAATGGTGAGGGGCAGGGTCTGCTTGGTCTTGGGGGTGAGTATCCAGAGCCCTGTGGAGAGCAGACAGTATGGGGCGGGGGGGTGAGACGCGGAAGCGGGGCAGGCTGCGGTGAACAGCTGATGCTGGGCTTCCTTCTGTGCCCTGGCTGAGCACACACTCCGGGCCAGGTTGTACCTGTGGAGAGGGGCTCACTCAAGCCCTGGTTTGGGGGTAAACCGGAACAGCCTTTTAGAACAGTGTGTCAGTCTGTGACAACGCATAGTATGTGTGTTGGAGACAAAATTAATTGCTCTTTAAAACCATAAGGGCAACTGCCCTAGCCGGTTTGGCTCAGTGGATAGAGCGTCAGCCTTCGAACGGAAAGGTCCCAGGTTCGATTCTGGTCAAGGGCACGTGCCTGGGTTACGGGCTCGATCCCCAGTGTGGGGCTTGAGGGAGGCAGCCGATCAATGATTCTTTTTCATCATGGATGTTTCTATCTCTCTCTCTCCCTCTCTCTTCCTCTCTGAAATCAATAAAACATATTTTTTTAAAAAAGGAACCGGTTCTCTCCAACCTATTTGGGGGCTAGTTATATAAATCATGGCATACCCATACAGAACTTACGCCCCTATATAAAATATGATGTTGTCTTATGGTTATTGACATGTTTTAACATGAAAAAAAAAATCAGGTTAAAAAAATAGCATGTGGATTATAATTTCATTCTGTGGAAGAAAAAATATCCATGTGTGAATATATATTCATAAAAAATTGCATAAGAATATACTTGTATTCTTATGTTATTAATGTGTTCATATAATGTTAATTCTGAAAAAAACATACAAACCACTAACCATGCCTCATTGCTGTTTGGCAGGGAACTGGGACAGGCTGTGGGAAAGGATAGCATACCGTAGTTTATGGACTGCAGGGAGGGGCTGGGGCTCTCCCCCTCTCCCCACCCCCTTCCTTCTCCCCTCATCCTCCCCTTCTGCCCACACCTGCTGCTCCCTACCCTGTTCCGGCGACCAGGCCAGCTGGTTGCTCACTGTCTCCACGATCATGTTGGCGGCATCCTCGTCTTGGAACAGGGCTTGGACCTGCTGCAGGTCGCCGGAGAACAGGGCGCTGTGGACCGCTGGGTCTCGGCAGGAGCGGCGGGGCCTCGCCAGGCGCGCCGGAGAACCTGGGGGGCACCTCTGGCTCCGGCAGAGCTGGGCTGCTGCCCGGCGCCTGTCCTCCCACTCCAGCCACTCCCGCTGCAGGCGGAGAGCGCGCAGCCTGGCGGAGGGGGAGGGGAGGGTCTCTTCTGCCATGGGAAGGGGTCTGGTTGGCAGCAGGTGGGCAGAGCCAGCGATACCACCCTTGTTGTGAGGAGCCACCCTGCCCCTCCCCATGGCCCGGAGAGAGCAGCAGCTGACACTATAAATAGGCCCTGGGATCTCCGGTAAACACGTTCGCCCAGAGTCCTGATCCCGGTGCAGAGGTGTTGGGGCAGCCCCTGCCCCTGGCCCTGGCCCTGGCCCTGGCCCTGGCCCTGCCGATACCCATCCCTGAACCCAGGGCCCTCATCCTCCCATCTCTTAGGAGTGAGCACCTTGGGTTGGCAAGGTCTGAGGTGAGAGCCAAGACAGCTGTGAGCCTCTCCCCACCCTCCTAGCAGGGACACCATGGGCTATAGAAACTACCTTCAGTGAGTCCCCTCACCCCACCCCAGCTCCGCCAAAAAACGAGACGTCTGGTCACCTTACCTAAAAGGGCTCACATGGCCAAAAACGGTTTGGCTCAGTGGGAAGAGCGTTGGCCTGCAGACTCAAGGGTCCCAGTTCTATTCCGGTCAAGGGCATGTACCTTGGTTGCGAGCACATCCCCGGTAGGAGGCGTGCAAGAGGCAGCTGATCAATGACTCTCATCGATGTTTCTAACTCTCTATCCCTCTTCTTTCCTCTCTGTAAAAAATCAATAAAATATATATATATTTTAAATATATTTTATTGATTTTTACAGAGAGGAAGGGAGAGAGAGAGCTAGAAACGTCAATGAAAGAGAAACATCGACCAGCTGTCTCTTGCACACCCCCTACCGGGGATGTGCCCTCAACCAAGGTACATGCCCCCGACCGGAATCGAACCTGGGACCTTTCAGTCCGCAGACCAACGCTCTACCACTGAGCCAAACCGGTTTCGGCAAAAATATATATATTTTTAAAAATAAATAAAAGGGCTCACATGCCTGCCTGAGGGCCAAGGGCTTGACCTTTCCACTCTGGGTATTCAGACCAATGAGACCTGTTTAAAGCCAGGAACCTATTCCCTCTCAGGAGAAAGCAGCTGTGCTTCCAGGAGCCTCTAGGGGGAGGAATGAGGCCATGAAATGACATTAGCGGGTGTGGTGGCCAAGCCAGGCGAGGGGAGGCAGGAGGGGTGCCGGTCCCTGCATCAGCAGCTCTCCTCTGCCTTCCTCAGTGCTGTAGGCTCCTGGCTCCCAGGTCCCTGCACTGCCTCCCCTACCTGGTTCTGCAGCAGCCCTCGCTCAGTTATCTCTGACTTCTTCCCCTCCTTGGTCCCCTTGCCCGAGAGGTCCCAGCTCCCAGACTCCCATTTTCAGTCCCCATCTCAATGTCTGTAACAGGGGCCAGCCCAGCCTCCTGCCAGGTGCTTCCTCCTCTGACCACCATCCCTCAGCTTCACCGCCTCCATGGAATGACCTAACTAAAATGGTTACTTCCTCGCTTGAAGACTTCTGCCGACTTCTAACACCGCCCCTCTCCAACTAAGCCCCTGATCCTTGGTTTGGCCTCACATCATGTCGCATTCTCATCCTGGCTCCTCACCCTTCCCTGCCATTCCCTCTTCTTGGAATTCTCTTCTGACGCTTCCCTTCAAGTCCACCTGCTCTGGGGGACACCGCTGCAGCAGCACCGGGTCCCCCACTCCCCCGGTTCCGGCCACTCCCAGTCCGTGCACTTTGTGAGCCTGGGTCTCTGCAGCCGTGCTGGGTGTGGGCTCCAGAGGAGGCTCTGAATGTATTTAGTTAGGCTTCTGGTCCCAGCAGGGCCTGGCACACAGTAGGTCTTGACATGGTGTTTAGGGCACTTGGCACAGAGCAGGCTGGCCTCTTGTGTGTAGTGCATTCACTGAGGGCCCTGTCTTCTGCCAGAGCAAACACTCATCAGCCTGCCCACGTGGGCGGCGGCAGCCGGGGCTGCTTCCGGAGCTGCCTTTCTCCTGCTGTTCACCCACTCTGGCCCCAGCCTCTTGGTGGTATTCCAGGGTGAGGGATCCCAGAGGAGGAATGAGATCATGCACAGGAGGGCTTAGCGATCCTCAGAGAAAGGCACCTCTATAAACACAGCGGTGATTAACCCTGTTGGAACCCATTCAGTGTTTTAATTGCCCCACCAACGGCCGGACTGAGCACCCACAGCTGGGTTCCCAGGGTTGGGAGTTGGCAAGGCCAGGTGGGGCCAAGAGGGGCCAAGGTGGGGTGGGCGTCCCCTCCCTCGTGAGGTGCACAGCAGTCATGGCGTGGGGGCCCATGATCGTGCTGGCCTTCCCAGCCTCTCGGTGACTTTCTCATCACAGGCCTGGAGGTGCTCTGGCTACAGATCAGTCCCCAGGGACACCAGGCTTTCTGTCCCCTGTCCCCTGCCTTAACATCCCAAGACCTATACTTCAACCCACACAGGAGCTCACAGGGAGCCCAGTTCCACTGGCAAGGAGCCATGCCAGGTGACTGGACACCCAGCCTGCCTTCTGGGAGCTCAGCCCTGTGGGGGAAAGCACACCCAGAGAAACCAGGACCTCAGCCAGGACTGTGAGCGGCAGGGCGCTGAATGGGGAAAGACACTGCAGCCAGGGGCAGGGGGTAGTTTAGGTGCCTGAAGACCACAGATCTCAGCTACAAAGGCAGAACTGGGGAGTTAGCAGTGGGCAGAAGAGCAAGAAGGGCAGGTAGGAGGACCAAATGGGAGTGCAAAGGGGCAAGGGTGCTGGAGGATTAGTCCTTTCTTGCTCCTGGGCTTAGCACACAAAAGCCTTCCAGGGCCTGATTGCAGCCAGCAGCTAACTGGGCATGGGGTTCTTAAAGCACTCGTTCACTTCAGTCCTGACATGGGACCCCTGGGATCAGCCTCTCTTTGGGAAAAGGGAGGTTCACACCTTCCCCAGAACAGCACCTTCCCAGGAGAGGTCCCTGACTCACAGCTGCCTAGTGAAGACAGGTGGAAACCGGGAGGCTGGTGGTCAAACTGAGGTGTTTGTTTTTTTTATTATATATTTTTATTGATTTCAGAGAGGGCGATGGAAACATCAATGGTAAGACAGAATCATTGATTGGCTGCCTCCTGCACACCCCCTACTAGGGATCGAGCCCACAACCCAGGCATGAGCCCTGACCAAAATCGAACTATGAGCACCGGGTTCAAAGGTTGATGATCAACCACTGAACCACACTGGCTGGGCCAAATTGGGATCTTTAATCCACACCCCCTCACCCATGAATTGAGAGAAAAATCCTTTCTTCCCTTTATTCCAGGAAAGGAAAACAAAGTTGGCAGCTTGGTACCATTAGGCCTTTTACACCGCAGCCATGTCCCTGTGCGGCTCTGGTCTAAAAGGTGGCATAGAGAAGCTACAGTGACCAAGAGCTGCTTGACAAAATAAATAAAGTAGTATTAGGTTATAACCCAAAGCTTAGAATAAATACCCGTGAGCCCATACTGATATAAACGAATAAAAAATGAGGGATAGGTCATTTCAAAGAGAGCTTATGGGACCAAAGCAGGAGCTCTTAACGCTATGACCTAAGACTGAAGTTCCCCACAGGATGTACCAGATCCTCACCAGTGCTGTTTTCCTGAGGAGACATAAAATTTAGCTACTCATATCAATGAGTACTGATGTGGGAAAGTAAATAAATGTTTTCCAAGTTTAAAAGAAGGGAGAATAATCTATGTGAATATTCTTCCCTTCCGGAGGTAAAGTGTAACTCCTCATGCCTTGTGTGGACTGCACAGTGACTTCCTCCCAAGAAGGACAGTACAGAGAGGGAGGAGGGAGAAGGTAACTTTACAGTGGACAAACCTGACAAACCCTACCAAGGCCAACATCAACCCTTGTCATGATGTGAATAGCACATTGCCTCTGTGGTCTTCCTCCAAAAGCACATAACCCCAGTCTAGTCATGAAAAAAATCAGGCAGATGCCTGCAGAGGGACACCCTATAACATGCCCGAGCCACTCTCCTCAAAGCTGTCAAGGCCATAAAACAAGGAAAGTCTAAGACACAGCCACAGCCAAGAAGAGCCTAAAGCAGGTGTTGGGGACTTTTCTTCTGCCAAGGCCCATGTGGATATTTGTAACATCATTCCCGAGCCATACAAAATTACCAACTTAAAAATTGGCCTATGGCCTTCACTGGTTTGGCTCAGTGGACAGTGTCCGCCTGCACACCAAAGGGTCCCAGGTTCCATTCCAGTCAAGGGCACGTGCCCAAGATTGTGGGCTCCACCCCTAGTACGGGACATGCAGGAGGCAGCCAATCAATGATTCACTCTAATCATTGATGTTCCTATCTCTCTCTCTCCCTCTCCTTTCCTCTCTGAAATAAATAGAAACACTTTTTTTTTTAAATTAGCCTGTTTGGTCAAACATTTAATTAACTCACCCCTAATGCCTTGGCAGGGCCAGACCCACTGATTTCGAGGGCCTCAGGGCCAGAAGTTCCCCACCTCAGACCTAAAGAGACATGAGGACTAGATGTAATGTGGGATCCTGTCCAGAGTCAGGACATCAGGAGAAAGTTAGTAAATCTGAATACAGTATGGAGTTCAGTTAATAATATGCCAGTACTGGTTCTTTGTGACAAAGCTACCATACTGTCTGATGATAATAATATGGGAAACTGGATGTGGGGTATTATGGGAACTCCCTGTAATACCTTTGCAATGATTCTATAAATCTAAAACTGTCTAAAAGAAAAAGTTTATTTAAAAAAAAAAAAAGAGAGAGAAAACGAGTAGCCTAGCTCTGCTTGATCAAAGCACCACTGGCAGAGCGAACAGGGCAAGGAGCAGTGAGGATGGCAGGGAGAGGCCGGTGAAGCAGGCAGCTGCTTTATTTCAGAACAAGATACCACAGCCACACCCCGTCCCCCGCACCTGTGAACCCTGGACACAGGTGAGCTGGACAGCTCTAGGCCTCCAGAGACAAAGCGGAGGGAAGTCCGAGTGTGTCCTTCCCTGTCCACAGGGACAGATGGCCACTGCTGTGGAGCAGCTCCTCTGAGCTCCTCAGCCGAACAGAGAGTAACGAGTAAAGGGACCAAGCAGGTCCAACGTCCTGCAAAGTCAAGATGAGGAGGGAGGGCGACACACCTTCCCTGTGGGCAGGACAACGATGCGCCA